ACCTACTGTGACATGTGGTATGACATCAATGGTTTATCAGTGACATGCAGAGGGTCAAACTGATTTCAGAAACAGATGTCAGCCTGAGTCTGGCTTACAGTGGTGTCCAAATGCCACATAAGGTCTTGGTGAGCAGGGACCAGCTCACGATAACTAACTGAGGCATCCGTACAGCCTGTATGTTACTATTAAACAGCAATAATTGGGATCAAAAATCAGCTGGCAATATGTGAATTGATTTAATAAATACCTTGTGCAAATCCTTCCTTCGAGCTGTTCCATGCCTCCTAGTTCCTTATCTTCCTCCTGCGTTCTTATCTGCTTCCTGTCTCCTTATCTGCTCCCGTGTGTCCTATTTCTATCCGAATACGCCGGCTTTTGAGATCACCATCATCATCATCATCCCCTCGCTGATGTGTTTCCAGGGAAACATGGCCTCAGAGCAAATCGGATGACCTGAGGGAATTGAATAGGTATAATCTGACTGGTGTGCTGGTCTGTATGTGTGTCGATGATGGTCTATGTGTGTTTAACCTGAAGGTATTGTTGGTGACCTTTGTATAATCCGTGTACTCCGTCTGCTCCACCTTGAAGAGGGCAGAAGACCTCCTCACGCCAACATAGCACAGGCACAACATGTTGTATAAGCAAAATCACCTCTTCCCGCAACAAAAAATGCAATTAGACCAGTACCAAGATAAACACGCAATCGACTTGCTGACTCAGAGTCAGAGGGACCTAAAACCATCACGACATAAAAGGCACATAACACAGTGTTATGCTCGCAAACGTGTATACATGCAATACATGTGCCAGTTCACGTGCAGTAATCACATGTGAACACACTCACATACACCCAGGAATGAGAGTTGCATGTGTCAAGGTCGCTGGTACAGTCTCCCCTTCAAAAGAAAGCACACGTTCATCAAACTTGGAACACTATATCACATGTAAAAAACTCATATATAGACACAGGGGATTTTGTGAAATGTATGAAATGTGAACATCAGTTTCACATGTAATATCCCATGTGAATCACGTCACACATTTCCCATGTAATTAATTCCATTATTATACCTTCTTATCCAATGTAAATAATCACATTTCTAGACAGCTAACCTCCAACTGTTCAGTAGGCAAAAGATCAGACTGGTTTGACTGGGCAGCTTCCAGATGTGTGGATATGAATCAGGATGTTTCTAGAAAATAGAAATTACACTCAATCTATAGTGGTTATTTTACATATAAACAGATATATAAAATCCAGGATATAATTGCAATGTATCTGGAGTGCAAAGCAACATATATAAAACCCTGAAGCATACAGAGACTAGAGGACTGGAAAACACGCAAGCACACAGATCAACACAAATTCTGACACAAATATATGTACTCATGTATAGCCTGCCACTTAGCATGTGGTGGATGCTTTTATCCAGAACTCCCTGTGGTGAGATGCATGTATTTTTAGTGCAGGAAGCCTCAGTGGGAATAAAATAAAAGGTTGGAATATGTAAAAGCATGAGCATTAGTTAGATGCACATACTGTGAGGAACGCACCAAACTCCACAAATGTATACACATAAATAAGCTTTCAATAGCTGACATGCACATGGAACATGTAAGGGATTCTTCTATATAAATGATCATACAACATTTCAAGTGTAATAAATCATTGCCATGTTCATGTTGATATGTGTGTTATATATAGATATAAACAAGTCCATCACATAGAGAATTGCCAGCCTTTATACTGCATTTAAAAAAAACACCAAGACAAAAAAGGAACAGATTTCACTCTGAAAGTGTTGCAGATGTTTTCCCTGACCCACTCACTGCATAGTTTCATTTTCACATCTATTGTTAAGGGATAACAACTCTCATCCCAAACAACTGAATAAGCACAGACAAAAACCAGAATGGGGGAAGGTGACATAAATTTTCTAACATCTATGTGAAAGGATGCTGCAGAAATTATAAAAAGAATAGTTTTAATTGTAATAAAAATAAAATGCTGCATGCAGCGCCAAGAGAAACAGGAGCTGCGGCAGTTAACAGGGTAAAAATCTAAAGAAAAGACCAGCAGAGAGAAAAGGGGGAAAAGGAGAATTCATAGAAAAAGCAGGAGAGCACAGGTGCGATTCTTTGACCTGGTTATTAGCTATTGTGTGCAGTGACAGCTCTAATGGAAAAAATGACAGGTAACTTAGAAGAGAGAGATGGAATGTGAAAGGTATGGGGCCTAAATAAAGGACCGGGATGGAAATATAAGAAGCAAAATGAAAAAAGACAAAAACAATAAAGGAAAAGATGATGTAGAGAGGAATAGAATATAGGCAGTAATGAGTGTGTTAGATGGAGAATATAAATATGTGATTTGTTACACAAAAGCCAGATATGGTGGAGATGCATATTTCTATGTTTTTTTTACCCGTCTCCAACAAAAATATAGCCCATTTGAAATATTAGTATCTTAAGTTTCATATGTGTCAATACACCATATTTGTTCATATAAAACAAATGTAACATCATGTTATAAATTAGCTGGGGCTACGTTCTCTGTATTGGTGAATTCTGTGTGGAACTGAAAAAAAAAAAAATCACAGTTTAATGGATGAAATACTACTGAAATACAAAAACTAAATGTGGCAATAGCTTTAATTAATATTGAGTAGTACCAACCAGAGTACAGCTAGCAGAGCGATATCATAGATGGAAGTGAGAGTTTGTATGTCAGTTGGCAAAAATGTCCACAGTGGGACAAAAAAAGGTGTCCAGTCACATGTACACTATGTTCTGCCAAAAATCTCACAATGCAATGTGTCATATTTTATGTTTGCAAAAATAATCATTTTGGAGTTTCCATCCATTACTGTTATATCATTATCAGCAGTTGGTTCATCAAGATAAACAGTTTGTAGCACTAATTTTCCAGTCGGGTGCTATGGCGTTATATTTGTGCCTCCTTCCTGAGCGAGCAATGGGAGATTAGGAGAAAAATACATTTTGCGAGAAAATAAATTAGATGTTAAAGAGAAATTATACATAAGCAAAACATATTTTTGTTGCAGCAAAAACCTATTCTGTTCATCTGCAGTCACAATGCTTTCCTAAGAAGACGAAAACCAGCGGACATGACATGACGTGAAAACATTTCTGTCAATAATCCAAAATAATTGACTGAAAATATGTTTTAATTGACTTGTAGACGAACAAATGTAGTCAGTTTTATTTATTTTTTTGTGTATTAGTGAGTACAGAATAGATTTTGCTCAGACAAAATTAATTATTTTTTGCTCAGCAATGAGGCACAAATATTACACCATTGGGTGCCATTACAACACAGCAAAAGATGACGGGATTAAATGAGCACCAGTCAAACCTCACACAGTGAAGAACAATGTAGAAAACACGATGGAAATCTGACATTTCTGTTTCATGTATTAATGTGAGGAAGGTTCAATCTCCTCATAGCTTCATACATGATTTATTCTCTACGTCTGTTTCCATTACACTTTGTTACATTTTGCTTTTATCAATACCTCAACAAAAAAGTGTTTCTTTTCAAGTTTTTGGCATTTCAATGCAGCTATGCAGAAATGATGGTGGATGAAAACCCACCTAATGATTAATAGTGTCTGAAATGTCAGTACTCCCCAAACTTTGGAGGGAGTAGTGAATTGCTCTACAGCTAGGTATAGTGGTGTACTCATTCAGTCACGTCCACTTCAGACGGATCTGAAGGATTTGATTTAAATCCCTTTCGGAACCCCTCCCACATACTTCATGTCATTTCACTGAGTTTAATGAACTTAGTTTACTCAACACTGACTGTCTCTGATGTTTCAAAGGTTTCATACGAAGCATGTTAGATAAAATTTAAACCATCTCAGCAGCTGCATTTCCTACAACTTTTTACTAAGATTAATGTCTCACACAATCAGACTAACCTTCCACTCGGAGCATCCAGATATGCTCTAGATATGCCAACGTCAGTCTGTCATTTCGTCTGTCTGTTCAACTCTTTGGTGAAAGAGAGTGAAGTTTCTCCTACCTGATGGACTGCAATGATATTACTTTAAGAATTCCCTTGACTTTTTATCTAGCACCACCAATGGGTCAAACTTACCACTTGTTTAATTCCTCATGGGGGTGCTAGTGTGGCTCTGAGCACAGTGAGCAGATTTTCATTTGAATCCAGACTGAAGGCCCACAGATGTCCAAATGTGTTAGGTAACATAGGGACACAATTATCTGGGACATATGGATTGTGACTAGTTCTTGAAAAAAACTAAGAACAGTTGAGGAAATAATACAGGAGGAAAAATATTTTAGTGATTCAACAAAGAGAGAAGGTACAAAAGGAAGGACGAGAGTAAGAGAGCAGAAGAAGGAAAGAAAATAGAGAAAGAGGAAATTTATTGCTGTGTCACACCAACCCAAACAGTGTTTTTTTTTTTGTGGCTGCTGAATCCTTGAAAAAGAAGTTCAACATAAAACAACAGATAGTCAAGTGTGGAAGAAAAGAGATTAGGGAGAGAGGGATTTGGGAGGGAGGAAAGGAGCTGGAGGGGGAGGAGGACGAAGGAGAGGAGGAGGGAAGTTACAGAAAGAAATTTAAAAAATGAAAGATAACTGAACTGAAGAACAGAGATGAGAGAGGGGAGGAAAGTGAGTGAGATGTGAGGAAGATGAGAGGAGACAAAAGATGAAGAGGAGGAGGGAAGGAAGTGGAGGGAGGGGGAGGAAGAAGAAGAGGGGGTCAGGTGTGATCCTCCACAGCTCGGGTGTTTGTTTAGCCAAGAGCGGCAGCGGTAGAGCAGAGGATTATGGGATTACGGTCAGTGTCATTGGTCATGTGAGCCGGCGTGGTCGACACTGACCCTGCTTACCTCCTCTCAGTAAGGAAGCTTAGCCTGGCTGTGAAGGTGAGGTCACACACACACACACACACACACACACACACACCACAACACACACACACACACACACACACACACACCTACCGGCCCACCTATCATTCTATCTCCTGAACAGACTCTCAGCTACTCCTCTGCCTCTCTGTGGGTCTCTTTTTTTTTTACTTCTTTTCTGTCTTTTCCATCCTCATTTCCTACCTCTTTTTCTCTCCTGACACTTTTATCTCTCTTTTTAATTCTCTCGTCTATTTCTGTCTCTTTATCTTCCTCCCTCCCTCCCTCTCTATCTCTCTTCCAGATGTCAGGCTTCTTTTTGCTGTATGTTATACATGCACAGCTTATCCATGCCCACACAAATCCAACAGGATTCCTTGATTTTTCTATCTGGAAGAGTAACAAATAAAACAGAGGACAGAGGGATAAAATATCATAGTATCAGGAGCAGTAACTCAGACGATGTCCAGACTGTGAGGAATAAACACAGGAACAACCCCGGCCTTGGTAAGTTTGGCATGTCTTGTTTTTTTTTAGTAGCACCAATTTTAGAATTGTTTTGGTCAGTTTAACTCAATTTGCACCATGATAACATATTTAAGTGAAGTAATGAAGTCAGTGGTTTACAAAAAGAAAGCAAAAAAGCAATAAAGAAATGATGGATATTGTATATTCAAAGTATAAAGATAAAATATGTAAGATGAAATGCCAAATTAAAAGACAAATAGATTCAAAACTGAATTATTTGATTCAAGCCAGCACATTAAACAGCACATATTTCTTCAATTAAATCAGATGCAATCATATTGTTGCTGCTCTGTTTTATTCATGACATCTGGACAAGCCTGATAATCAAATGAATTAGCATTTTGTTTCAACTCATTATTCATTGATTCTGTTTGAAACACTCAGAGGTCCCCAACCAGGATCGTCAGCGATTGCAAAGCAAAAAAATATATATATATATTTTGGGGGTTAGCACAAGGGTAAATCTAATGCTGTTTTCTCTACTAAGGTTTCTTAATAGAAATAGTGTAGCAAAAACAGAAAATAAAATTATATAACTGGTAGCTGGATGAGTTATTTGGTCTTCTGAAAGGTAAGTAGACCGTTTCCTCTGTGCAACTGTTGAATAATTCACTGCTGTGAGCATCCCAAACTAAATTCCAATGACCTCCATTGTAGAGTGATCACTGATCAAATATTAGCACATTTATTTGTTTGTTTGTGTGTTTATTTAGGGGACAGTACACATTAATCAACACTGCCATTTAACAACATCCAACATCAAACTAATAATAACAAAAATAATAATAATAAGACCTTAATGTCTTGAATATTACAAATAGAAGATGGCATAAACTAGAATTGTTTCTACTAGAGGAAAAGCTTAGTTGCTGATTTTAAGAAAACAAAACATAAATGTGGTTCATATTTAACATTAATATTTTAATACATATTTGGAGCATGTTGAAGTTACTTTTTAAGTACCTAAACTACAGTAACTGTAGTTGTGTCAGTGGATAAACTGCTGAACATTTTGACATAAAAGCTTTGAACATATTCCATCAATAATACAAACATGTCAACACATCTTGTACCTCTGTGGCTGTGTACTGTCATAGTTTGTAGGTAAAAATATTATTGAAACCTTACAATAGGTAGTTTGGTTCTATCATTTATAGTCCAAACCATCAGGACCACAGGCTGGGAGTTTACAGTGGGGAAAATAATAATGAAAATAAAGATATCTAATATACAACGTCCATCCATCCATCAGCTGTCCGCCCGTATCGTTTAGAGGGCCTTCTCGTCTGGAGCCAGTCCCAGCTGATTTCATCTCTGGGGCACATTTAGATTCACAGCTAATTTTATATGTTAATTATAAAATAGTTAATTTTATATTTTGTGGTACCATGTCAAGGACCTAAGTACCCAAACAAGGATGATGGAAATATGATCTGGCAGTGATGTGACTGGTGGGGACTGACAGCTCTATCCTTGGACAAAAATGGCAGCACTGATCACTCCTACTTTTTGGAATCCTTCCAGATGTTTTATTGAGTCACTGGAGCCAACTGAGCAATTATCACCTCACTGACTATGTCCAAGCTGTCTAACAATGTGGTCGACAGGAACATACGTTACATAATGAACAGAACAAAAGTTAACCTCTCAGCTAAGGTGTTACATATACTCTAAATGATACAAAAGAGACAGATGATAAATAAAATCCTGAGACTGTGAGGACTTCTTGCCTGTAGTCAAATGTACTAAAACCAATGGGCTGCATGTTGAGCAGTGACTTGCTGTAGGATTGCTGCGCTGGGTCTTTATTGGGCATTAGATTGGAGTGACGCATGTATCGTGCTAATCTCTGATTTCAAGTCCTGATTGGATCCTACCGGTGTTTCCTCTCGGTTCATTGAGCAGCAGCACAAACAGCACGGCAAGAGGATACCAGTTTATTTACCCCCAACAAGGAGACATCGATCCCCTGTTTCCCTTAAAAGGTCCATATTTCACAAGAGAACATGACCCATAATTTTACTCCTGAAAAGTCTGGAAAAAATGACTGTGAGGTGTTTTGATTTACAGTATCAGAGTTTCACTACAATACAGGAGAAGAGAACCTGTTGCACTATACTGCGGCCAACGTTTGGTAGTCAGTGTCAAAGATAGAAAGCAGCAGCCAGCGCGGCTGTAAGCTCACAGCTTCCGCTTGCGAAGTTTTTAAACGAGATCTAGAGGTCTAAATTTAACATAAGCAGGGTTTTCTCGTCTTCAAGAGCAAAATATGATTTTTTAACACTGTTTCATGATGGCAAGATCAAATCAGAGTCCCAGCAGGTTGAAATAACAGATTTCCTTTCCTTGTGTTATTGGCACAGCATGGTGGCTTTCATGGCAGAGGAGCCGACAAATGGACTGTGGGATAAAAATGAACAGAAAAACACATTACAAAATGAAAGAACTAAAAAATTATAAATGCTGGATTTATATACTCATTAATTCCTTCTTGGCTGAAGGACATTTGTAATAATGACATGAATTATTGATAAGTTTAATAATTAAAAGTGTCTTATTAACAATCAACTAAATGTGAACTTTCTTTTACACTTTTCTTTATAACGTATCATTTAATGGACAGATTTTTAAAAGTTTACATGTGAACTAATGTGTAACATATAGGCTGGTATATTAAAGGCTCCACAATGTATAACCAAGTGTCAGGAGAAGCAGAGAGGTGGGGAAAGCTTTGAGCTGTGGAGGCGGTGGGCTCAGGATCAGCCTCTGTCCAGACAGACAGGTAAACACAGACCAGATTAGCCCGCTATCACGTTTACCATTCACCACCAACGAGTGAAGGATTACACACTGTACAGTATGACAGCTACTGGAAAAAAAAAAAAAAGGTAGCAGTTGGAGAAGTTGCAAAGTACTGGCACTTTTTAAAAAGCAGGCGATAATTGTAATAACACTGTAGGCAATTATAGTATAACCTCGAGTTACTAGTGGGAAGCTCTAGAGGAGAACACTTGAAATCATATAACACACATCTACTTTTAAACATTTCACTTTGGGGACAATGCCAAAGGTAAATCTCCATTCTCAGTTAAGTGGAGAATAAAAATCTTCAAATACAGAGTATTATTAAATCATATTACTTAACAATCTACAGTTTTGGAATTATTTAAACAAGTAAATGTATTCTTCATTAATGTTTCCCATCTTTTATGCACCTTTTTAAATGATGGACTTGGACACTGGGATATTTGCAGCACACTGTGCATTCTGTAACCTTTCACCTCCTTAGTATTAGTGGCTTATAACACTGGTGATCTGGGAGCTTATTTAACTGTTCTTCGGAAGTCTGTGCGGATAAGAGCATCAGTTAAATGCCTAAAATGAACCAAGGTGGCAATCTGATGGATAACTTTAACTTACTTTTTTTTTTTTTAGATCAAACCTTTTCTATTCTAATCTAATCAATTCTAATAATGTATTTATACATCATGTTTTCAAACAGATTTCACAGGGAATGTGCAACTTAATCAGTATCGCTGAAGCTGTGTTATAATCAGTCAATTACGCATTCATGTGCAAGATATAATTAGAACTAAACGGCTGTTATTTTGAGATGAGGACGACGGTGAGGCAAATGACACGATCTAAACATCTAAATCAAATAATGGCATGAAATGGCTTTCATCATACTTGTCCTGTTAACATACTGTAGTTGCATTGCAGAGATGTCACAGGCAGTTCAGGTGTCACACTTCGTCAGTGTGTTATTTGTTCAAATGTAATGCCCCTAAACACCCACACAGGTGTTCTCACTTTAGCCTAATTAGACTCTCAGGACTGTGTGGGCGTGTGCAGATGGCGCCTGATTGACAGCTCCCTCACTCTCCTGTCAGTTAGGTTGGTAACGTCACATATTTTAGCTCCACTAACCTCCACCTGACTGGAGGTCTAATCAGCAAGGTCAATTGAAAACACCTGTGAGGGTGTAAAGCGCAGATATAGTCCCTTCTTTTCCCTCCTCAAAGGTTGTGTGTCTTTATCTGCACATACCGGTAGCATATTCATGTTACAAGAATCCCTTGGCATTTTGAGTCTCACTTTGTCTCTACCAGGCATTCGTCACATAGTGTAAAATGTCCCTTTTTAATGGCTTGTTAGAGAGCAAGCGGCTCTCTGCGCTGGCGGGAGGAGTTGCCACCGCTAACAAGCACTTGCTGGAGCTTTTTCGCCAAAATGTGACAAGTTTCTGGTGAAGAAAAATAAGCTGGAAAACATTAAAATGCTACAGTCCTTTGTTAACACCAGAGGAATAGGACACAATGTGATTGTGGATTCAATATGTCTGTAATCAATCCAAAAATCTGAAAAAAAATCAACCGTAAAGAAGTTGAAATGCATATAAAAGGAAAAACCTGAATAAATATGCTTCGAAACAGAACACTACTAGAGATCACTGAATAGTCTGATGTATGTGAACATAATGTGAATCATATGCTAAAACCAATCCAACCCCTATAGGAGATTTCTAAGCTAGCTAAGTGTTAGACGCTGCTCCCTATAGTCATCATCAGAACACCAAATGAGGGAATATCATTAAGAAGAAAGGCGTGTATCTCTCCAGGAGAGTTCAGACTGTTGGTTAACTGTAAGACGTGCCTCCCTAGAGTGGCAGGGGAGAGTTAAGGAGGGTGCAGAGGGAGAGACAGGATGTATAGCAGTATTCTGAAAACAACAGGTTTCACAACGTTTTAATAGTTTGGCCCATTTACCAACATGGTCAATAGTCTAAGCAGCAGGCTGTGACACTCAGCTGATGGAAGAAATGAAGATACTTAGGCTTCTTCTTTAAATCATAACTCAGTTACATGCAAACACACAGACATACAGATTTTACATTCATTGTGACTTAATGATGATAATATTATCATTGTAATTATATGTCTATTGAAAATAAATCCAAGGGCGCCTGGTTAGCTCAGTGGGTAGAGCTGGCGACCCATGTACCGAGGCTGAGTCCTTGCTGCAGCGGCCCAGGGTACTAATCCGATCTATCGATATCGTCCCCTCTCTCTTCTCTTCTTGAATATCAAAGTAATCCAGAGATAGCTGTTGGTATATCCATGGGTATACTGCAAACAGGAACTGCTAATAGCTAATTCAGCATATTTTTAATCGTGCCACTTTTCAGAGTCTTCCATAAACAGGAAAAGTAGTCCCTGGTAGAATCCATTGTTGTTTCACATTTTACCAGCCACACATGATTTAAAAAGAGTAACATTTAGTGCTGTTTCCAGTTCTCATTATCTCATATCTTGTGCTGCCTGTTGAACAAGAGTCCTGTAGTGTAACTGTGGAACAGCACTGTATATTCCTCCCAGTTGGCCTAATCCAATCTATTATTATTCACAACTACCTTCCTGTTATATGGAAGGATTTCCTCATGTGCCTGTGCCAGACAGGCTGTCTACTACACGAGCAGAACTTTATTTCAAATAATTCTGTTATATATATTTTTTTATTTGACAGCATAGTAACAAGTCAAATCACAATACAGGCAAAAAGACAAAACTTCCATCCAGGAAAAAAAGTTATTTGTCAAAAGTTTTGTTTCCAGTGAGTTATTCCTTCAAATTTAACAAAAGGGCTACAGGAGATAAATATATTTTTTTTATGTTACATGTCAAAAAGACCTGTAAATTCAGAATATGTATTATTCTTCAGTACAAACCCAGCCCCTCCTGTACTGTTTTGGGTCTCTTATCACTGCATTTGTATGTTTTCCATCATCTCTAAACTAAAGTTGTATGATCCACAGTGGAATAAACAGTGTAAAAGCTTCCCGAACACACACTGGGAGGAAGCAACTCCAACACTCATCTTCAAAGTGTCTTTGTCAGTTTTGCTGCCTCTGCTGAAGGTGTTAAATTATTGATGCATTAATCTGTAGGCAGTATTTTAAATCCGCAGGTGGTCTAACAAATTGTTGTTTTGTTTAAACTAAAAATATCCATGATATTCTATAAGCGTATTTTACATGCAAAACAGATAACATAACATAAAATATAACCAGCAGCTGTCAGGAAAATGTAGTGGAATAAAACGTATAATGTCACTCTGAGATGTAGTGCATCTAAAATTCAAAAAGTGAAAAAAAAATAGAAAAAAATCTTTTTTAAGTGGCAACATTTCAAAAGTGTATGGTGCTGGTCTAAATTCTCTGGCTGAACTGGCCAAATACTGTACTGCTAACGTATATTAGCACTTTATTCCTCATTATCCTTATTAGCTGAGTGAGTCACACAGTGGCCATCTGGGTATCAGTCTCATAGCACTAAATGGGATTATAATGTGACTCACAAAGTTAATTGTAAGGAAATAGTGTGATAAATGTGACAATAATGCTATAATAGCTAACAGCTTCTTAAAATAAAAGACAACTTTGGACTATTTACATACCCAAGTGAGTTTCTCACTCTGACATTTAGGTGTTTCTTAATGTGAGGGGTATGTGCTCTGAAAGGAGAAACAAGGTTTCTATTGTCTCCTAGCACAAAGAGCCATAATGTATCTTTTGGGTAATGTCTGGGCAACACTAAGAAAGTTTTAAACAAATGGGTAGTGATCTCAATAAGTTAGTTATTTGACATTAAATTATATAAAAATTACAATCCATTCAAAACCTCCGCTGACCTCCCCACATGAGAGAGAAATTACAACATACTTTATAATAAATGGATAAAAAGCTTAATTTTTAAACCTCAAATGCAACTGTAAAATACTGGCACAGGTAGTATTCATAGAAGAGTAGTATTACTTTTATAATGCATCTGTGAATCAGTACAAAACAGTGCTGAAAGATATATTTTGGTTGCACAAATATGCAAGAAAGATAGCACTATGGAGCCCATAGTTATTGAATCAAGTCTTTGTGTTCTGCATGCTGACATTTCACCGACAACCTCTGTAGTCTCATTTAGCCATTTGTTAGCAATTCCACTCAGCATTTATCCTGTTTTACCACTGTGTGCAGCCTTGTACACAATCTGTAAACATTTGAAAACCCGGACCCCTACTGAGCGTCTACTGTATCCTACATCACTGAGCGTATCAAATATTAACTACACTGGCTTTCTTCATGACATGTGTGACTGGGGGAGCCCTTGAGAAATCTATAATCTGTCACTGATTTCACTACACCCACTTAAAATGGGGGATATGAAGGATGGTAGAGAAGATATGAAGAGTTTAAGGAAGGATTTTAAGCCTTTAAAATATGACACTGAGGTGACAAAACAAAGAAGCAAATATCAGAATATTCAGAGGCTTTTGTTTGTTTTCAAGATACAATATCCCAGTTACAGTTATAATCCACAAATCACAAAAAAACACATTTTCTCACTTTGCATTTACTGGAGCCAATAAGACATTAAAGGAATAGACCCTGTGTAAATTGTTCAGAGTGAGGTTTTCTTAAATGACACCAGCAGCAGATGACACAGTGGAATCATTCTGTTCATTGCTTTCTGCTCATTACTAGGTCAAGAGTTTGTTTACCACCCTACACACCTCTACTATGTGTTTTACAGGAACATGATTGGCTGTAAAGGCCTGGAGGGGTGAGAACCTGAGATTTGGCCGCTTCAATGGCGTGGACCGAGCCACGGTCGCGTCCAGACCCAAAGCCCGAACCAAAACTGAAACCTTACAATCTCAGGACTCATGCAACTTTTTTATCAGCCATCCTTCAAATCCAGCCTTCAGTTTTGTTGACCCTCCTTCTCCTGCTTGCTGCCTTTGCTGACCTTGGTATTGCCGGTTCCCCCAGCCAGCTCCGCCCCCCTCTCCTGTCTGGACAACCTTTTATCATCTTTTGGGGCATCCCTGACTCTTCCTGCTCAGGTCGGCCAGATCCCAGATCTTTTGGGATGGAACGAGAGGGCCGCGTGGCAGTCTTTTACGAGGACACACTTGGGAACTACCCATATTTTGTGGACAAAGACACACCGGTCAATGGGGGGCTACCACAACACACACGGCTGGACAACCACCTCCAAAAGACACAGCAGGACTTGGAGGCAGCTTTACCTGCCCCGAGGTACCTCGGGCTGGGGGTGCTGCGCTGGGCAGAGTGGGTCCCCCAGTGGTCAAGGAACCGAGATAGGAAGGCCATGTATCTGGAGGCATCAAGGAACTTGCTGAAGTCTTTCTTTCCTTCCTGGACCCCAGAAGAGGTGGAGAAGTGGTCACAGGTAAAGAAAGTTGAGGGAAAGAGGTTATAAAAAGGTAGGGGGTAGAAGGAACGGACAGCTATGGAATAAGTAGAAAACAAGTTTTAAAGAAATGAAAAGAAGGAAAATAAGTGAACATGAAAAGGAAAGAGGGATAAAGGAGAGGTTGAGGGAGTATGGATGGAGATGGAGAGAAGACTTTCAAAGTTGTTGGCAGATGGTGAAGCATGCAAGATGCCAACGGGGGGAAAAAACCCACATCCAAAAGTGTTTCTTCTTTAGTCAAGAGAACATCTTTGATGCAACACTTTGATGAAAAATGCAAATATCCACTGAGACGTGGACACTAATACCATTACGGTAATATTTGCTTTTGGACATTACACCAAAAGTATCGTAATTATGTTGGCAGTGATATTTCATTAAGATGTTAAGATGTGAGCACCTTTAAAGAGGTACCAAAGGACGAAAAGGGAGGAGGGAAAATGGGGAAGCAGTTTGGCAGGCAGGATAAACATGAGGGCACCACAAGAGTGAGGTTGAATGAAGAAGAGTTACAGTTTACAGCATATAGTTATTTAATGTGATCACTCACCCAGACAAAGTGGTTTTCTCTCTATGGTGCAACAAAGGGTAAAAACATGTTCGACCCCATCTAGTAGTTTGCTTATAGTACTACCACATATAGTATGTGTAAAAACAGCTGCGTCTGGTCAAGCAGTAATCCGCCCCATAACGCTTTTACACCTCAGTTTTTGTACGAGTCGTAAAGGCACAAGACTGCAGACGGGGATGTCTCAGATCAGCAGTCCCCCAAAGACGGAGCATCTGTTGGGGGTACAGTAGAAGAAAATGCTGGAGATACAAGCTATAGTGTGTTAATCAGTGAGCTTCAGAGATGTTATTATAAGCTAACTGTCCCCTGGCTCCAGCTTCATATTTAATGGACACGTAGACATGAAAGTGGAACAACCTACTCATCTAACTCTTGACAAGAAAGTGAGTATACTTAATTTATATACAGTTATTCATTTTATGCACTTTTAAGTATTAAAACTTAGAAAACTATTCCCTTAAATAGCTTAAATCAAGGTTGTTCATCCTATTGGTGCATAAATGGTGAATAAATCCAATACTGCCATAGCAGTCATGCTCACTGATCTGCAACATTGTCCGTAATGGTCTAATAACCACAGCTATTAATATGAGCTACCTCAACAGAGACTGTGCGGCAAAATCGTATCCCCCAACACTTTGCTCAAGTTTGATGATTTCTTTAGGACAATTCATAATAACTTAAAAAAAAACAATATATAACTAAGTAGAAAATGTCTGGAGGGGACTGAAAGACTGTCTTGATCTCGTTACAGGTGGACTTTGAGGCAGCAGCCCAGTCAGTAATGATGGAGACTCTCCGGGAGGTGAAAAGGTTAAGACCCAAAGCATTATGGGGCGTCTCCCCTTACCCCAGCTGCTACAATGGTGATCCCACCCAAACCATGTTAGCCAATTACACCGGCCAGTGCCCTGCTGCAGAAATGGCCCTTAACGACGAGCTTCTGTGGCTATGGAAACGATGCTCCGCCCTCTACCCTGTCCTTACCCTGGAGAAGCTGCAGGTGGGTAACGCTACTTTGTTGTTACCTAACCCTAACCTTAACCCATTTTTATATTGGGTTAGGATTTTATAATTACTTACCTTAAAATCTAAACTTAGTATAATTATAAAGAGAATAATTTATAGCTGGAACATAGAAAACCTAATCGTTACTCAGGATAACATTTTTTTTTTTCTCCAGATAAGTACTTTGTTGGATATAAGCAGGAACAAAACAATCAGGATGAAAAAGGTGAAATCTACTGTCTAACTGAAGTTTGTCCCCTGAGCAGTTAACATCATCTACACGAGTGCAAAAAAAATAAATAATTCAAGTGAAATGAAAAATGCCATGTTTGGTTTCAGTCAGTGAGGTTTTGTAAAAACTTACAGAGTAAAACCAACAAACCTCAGTTTCTTGTAACTGACAAAGACAATCTAGTTTCAGCTCCTCGGGCTGATGTGAAACCTTGTGATATAAACCCCTTTATCTAAGACACGGGAAAAAGTGGTGAAAAGAGTGGTGGTCAAAAACAGATTACAGTTTATTGTTGTATAACTACGTCTCTGTAACCAAACAGAAGTTTGGAATATTTCCAATAACTGTACCTGGTTTATAGGTACAAATGTGTACAATCTGTCCCCTTACTTTATAGGGTGGGACAGCTGGAGCCATGCTTTATTTGTCCAGTCAAATCAGAGAAGCACTTCGCGTATCATCTCTGACTGGGATGCCGTTTGATCTTCCTGTATTCCCACTGGTCAAGAGCGTCTACGCCTCCACTAATACTTTCCTGTCTCAGGTGAGAACATCTGGTATTTGTAGTATTTTATCCAAGTGCCCTAGACATGGATCAATGCTAAAGTAGAACAAGGGGAGAGGACAGAAGTAGATTCACACTGTATCACAGTTCTTATTTCCTGCTTCTAAAGCTGCATAGTTTACATTGGAAAAGAGAATAATTAAAAAGCTGAAATGTGTCATTGGTCCACAAGTGAAATAAACTAAACAATAAACTAAACAAAGTAAATAGATAAATAAAGGCCCCATAGGACTAGTGTAATGGTGTTTATAGTGTATCATACTGTGGCACAAGCACAAAGAGATAAGTTAAAAAGAGCGTGCTGTGCTGTGACTCTTTTATATCGACTTTGTATAATTTCTTTCTAACAGGCAGACCTGGTGAGCACCATAGGAGAGAGCGCTGCCATGGGAACAGCCGGGGTTGTCATCTGGGAGAGAAGTGAGACTAAGACAGAGGTACACAACTATACATTTGCATAAAATACATACACCCAAGAATATCTCTGCACACTTATCCAGCCACTGATAATTACAGACGTAATCAATTTGTTAATTTCAGTTTATAGACACTATAATAGTGTATATAATAGTTTCACCAATTAAGTGTTTCATCTCACTGATAAATCTCCAAATGTTGCTTTGTGTTGGAAATATCAACTGTATCCATCAGCACACACCACTATTCCTGCTTCCTGTTTACATCAAACTGCCGGTTTATTTCCCAGAGAGAGTGTCAAGACCTGGCCGAGTTTGTCCGTAAGGTCCTGGGACCCTACACCACCAACGTAACCATGGCAACTCGACTCTGCTCAGCCTCTCTGTGCCAGGGAAAGGGCCGATGTGTCCGTCAAAATCCAGAAAGCTCCGCCTATCTCCACCTCCCAGCCCCATCTGAAGTGGTGGAGAAGGTGACAGAAAAGGTGAGAGGATGTAATTTTAAGTATTTGCGTTGGATTCATGACGCCCTGCTTATGCATCACTTTCCAGTTATCATTAATCCTGTTGACAAGCACGAGCTTGATGCCCACTTCTACAGTGAGCCATAAATAGATGTTGACAGAGGCCTGTTTAACCTTGTTCAGATAATAACTAAGACTTGTTATGTCCTTGGTCTAGCAATGGCAACATCATCAAAGCAGCTTTGTGTCATTATGCAAAGCCATGGCACACTTCAGTACTTGTGGTGACCCTAAGAGTCTTATGACAGATGAAACAAGTGTAACTTAGACTGAGTTTCCAGTTAATTAGCAACAAGTAGCCTAAACGACTGCAGTCTAACAGTAATAAAACTTCACGTCTAATGTTTTTGTTGAAATCGTTTTAGAGGGGTATTGATTCAACCTTATGGTCATTTTGGAGGCTATATAAAATGACCAAACTGAAGTTTTAGCCAGGTGTAAGAAATAGACATTGTACACCGTTTCTGTCTTTAAGTCAGTGCATTACTTGTGGAGCAGGCTGTGAAATCATGCCTGTAGAAAGGTTCCCAAACATATATGAGACTGGTGCGATATAAGAGGCAAGTATGTGCTGAAAAGGCAAAAAGCTGTGAATGCCTCATCCACTTTTCCCCCTTGCTGCTACTGACGAGTTGTTCCATAAAAGTCTGTGTACACATGCTGGACGGCACGTTTAAAGAAACACAAGTTCATGTTCTTTCTGTGTGGAAAGTTGGAAACGGAACAACTCATTTTGAGACACGACTGATAAGGATAACCAAGACTTTATAAAAAAAAAACGGGGGGGATGGGGGGATCAGCAGGGAGTGTAGTTGCCTGAGGATCTTCTGTGTTTAGACAGTAAGAAAGCAGAGAGGAAAACAGTAGCTGAGACACAACAGAGAAAGATCCGGTGGAGTTTGATCCTACAGCACTAAACACAAGAACACTGTGTTCCTCTGGGAACACTCATCACTGTTTGGAAATATCTGCATGGGGCTATGGCAATATTCGGTTGTCATAAAAATACAACACAATATAGTATATGAATATTGCTGTAACCTCAGAACAATATTAAAAAAAAAAAATTCTTTCCTTTTAAATTTGCCACACAATGTAATCTTCAGACTGATATTAGAAAATGTTTCACTACTGCCAATGAAAATTACATCAGCAATGTTTTCTGATATTGATATTATTTTTGTGTCAAACATCTCAGCCAGAGGCAGCAAAAGCCACAGATCAGCCGGACACAATCACTAAGCCAGATGAACCAGACCCTGCAGAGATCTGGAAGAAGGACTTTCAGTGCCAGTGGTACAAGACTGCAGACGGGGATGTCTCAGACCAGCAGTCCCCCAAAGATGGAGCGTCTGTTGGGGGTACCGTAGAAGAAAACACTGGAGATGTAATGGGGACTACAACCCCTTCTTCGACAACAAAAGGTGCCTCTGTGACTGAGTTAAGAGGAAGCACCACACCTGCAGGTAGAAGTACAACGCCTTTACTGGAAGTCATTACAGACGGTGGTTCAAATCCACTCAGTGCTCCAAACCTGACTGTTCTGCTGTTGCTGGTGGCTGGAAGTCTATGCCTGGAACCTTAAAACCAGCCTTCACTGGGAAGGTCTGGGCTACAACTGCAATATGAGCCCTTCTGAAGTGCCCTTGAGCAAGACACTAAATCCCTGCCAGCTCTGGACATGCTGCTTTATAGCTGAACAACCTGAATAGACAATCATTTAAAAAAAAAGACAAACAAACAACAAACTATGTCCAGAAGCCTATCACTGAATGTGCCAAGAGACGGTGGTACAAACACTAGTCACTTTTTTCAGTTTCTACAGGCTGTATTTTATGTGACATACTAGATTTAGACTGACCTATCGGTGTGCTGATATCAGCTTATTGTCATATCAAATCAGTCATTCAACCTGACCACAGATACATGAAAGCAGTCTGTTACCTGCACTGATGTTTCATTTTCTTTGCACTTTTTGTTTATACATTTACTTGTCAATGCTTTGTTATGTGGAAATTACTACTTCATTTAAGGCCTAATGTACTCAGGAGTTTCTCTTTCCTATGAGTTGATGTGCTGGGTTAAAGGGCCGAAGAGACAGAATAAGACAGAAACATAAAACCTGTTGTCAACAGATTTAATGGGGACTATTTCTTCAGTAGTTTCAATGAAAACTGTTGACACTGAAGTGAGTGTGTAGATTATCCAAAGTAATTGGAACATGGTTTCTGGAAAGATATTGAATGTTGTTAAATATTGTCCAAAACATCCAGGCATTATATTACAGCTTCTATCACACATGTTAATATTGTCTTCCAAAGGCCTATCTGCTGAACTGCAGCACTAATACTCTCCGCTCTCTAGCACCCTCTGCCTGAGTTCTGGTGAAACTGCACCATTCAACTTCATTTTGACATTTAGCTGCTTCAGTTTCCTGGTACAGACCTTTTTCACAGCAGCTATTTGACAAGAAGTAGTAGGATAAACACAGTTTACAAATGACACTAGTTGAGGTTCTGTTCCAATCAGGTCAAACAGAGTCAGGGTGCCACTACTGTGCATGTTGACTCACCGGAAAGGCTCTGCTACACTAAATGGAACAGAGCCTTAATTAGTATAATTGGTAACACCTGTATTTACCTGACTATTCAATGTCAAATGGCTGCTGTGAAGAAGGTCCATTGTGCATGCAGACTACATTTCATATTGTCATGACTTAGTAGAACACTTTAATATAACAAAGCCATTGTTATTATTAATAATAAAGCTTTTGTGTTTCCTTCTGTGACAAGTGAAACATGTCTGCTGTGAAAAAGGCCCATTGTTTCACCAATGTAATTAAAGCTCCTTTAACTGTTATTGTGGTTAAAACGTTTGCTTTAAATGCAGTCTCTCTTCATTCAAAAGGACATACCTCTGAGGAAATTCATTCAGTACACTCCATAATAGGCAACCTGCATGTATATATTTTTGTAAGTCAGTGTTGTTTATATTTGCTTCCTCCCCATCCACACCCTTTAGTGCTGCTTCAGGCAGTACAGTGAAAAAAAAAAAAAAAAGACTGAAATGTTTGTTTTTGCAGCTCATGTAAATTTATTTGTTATTTTTCATTAAAATATACACTCAAGACGAAGGGTATCTAAATCATTTTTTTAGTTACAGAAAGAGATCATATGTACACAGGTGCATCTGATTGTACAACAGAAAATTAATTAATCATTAATTTCTATTATGAACAAGAAAATGACATTTTCTCTCATATCTCCCATCTGAAGGATCCTTTTTTCACCTTAAAAATCTACTAAGACTCCCAAATGTCCTCTCTCCGGACATTTTTAGCTTCATCTGCAAAGAACATTCACATCTTTACAACCATGGACATGTTTGAGTAAATTTCAGTATCATCACAGGGAACCAGGATCATTAGTTCTGTAATATGAGCTTTTTAACGATGCTTCCTATTCCAATTTTCACAAACTTCTGATAACAAGGTCGAGGAAAGTGACAAAGAGACACATGTGCAGATATTACATTGAATGCAATCCGAGCTTTTTGTGAAGCCAATAACATGAACTTTTCACATAGTGGTGAAAACACACAAGTTCAGACAATGCAGAGCCAAGATTAAACTGTGTACTTACTTTGCTTGCAGTATTGCTCTGATAATGAAATATCCCAAAATCCATTTCAGTAGATAGTTTGGAAAAAGAGTGTCGGACAAGTCCAAGAAAGCCTTCAACAGCAAGACTACTGAAGCCAAATTACATACTGCCTGCCATCAGTAATAGGTATACGTACGAGTAAAAGTATGAAAATCTAGTACATGTACAAAGACCTACTACAAGGCTAGCCACCAGTGCAATGACAGAAGTGCCATAGACTCTTCAATAAATTAAATATAATGCTCCATGAGAGCAAATGGCTGTAGGTTGGTAAAGTAACAGCCAAGTGACGCTGCAGTCTTGAGTGGCTTTTATTGTTGATTAAATTCATAAATACTCACTTTGTAAGCAATCAAATGTGATGGTCCATGTTAGTTTACATTCGAAGGCTGTGTCCCCACTCCGTCCAGCGCTGTTTCTCAGATTTAAATTCTTCTTTTTAATGTTGAAGAAAACAAAAGAAAACTGTCTGTGACTGTTCAGTACAATCAGAAACTAACTTTAACTGATTTTAAATTTCATTTACAGGATTCCCCCCCCATTCAAATATGAATCTAGCCAAAGATGAATAACTTTTTTTCCAAAACATTTAATAAGTTGTTTTAAGTTGAGCTGTTCTAAAACATACATAATTTCTTTAAATTGGCTGAATCAAAACTGAAAAAACACTATCCAATCAATGACACTCATGACTCAGTTTATTACTACTTGAATGCCTCGCAATTAAAAGTTTTCAGTGGTTTGGTTTAATCTGTCCGTCTGTCTTGCATTAAGTGTTCTCACTTTTAATGACATTTAGCTTTTCAAATATTTTAAGCCACTGTGTAAGATTTTTTCCCCCCAGTTATGTTCTTGAATTAACATCTTGGATTGCACTGACAGGAAAGTGGGATTTTAGACCTAATGACGCATGGCTGGTGGTACCTTTAAATGAGAGAAACAGACCTGTGATTTAAAGGTTGCCAGTTTGGAATTGATGAACAGTCTGAGAGAATCTGAGTAGAAAAAGTGAAACACTCATTGCCTTCGACAACTGCCCTCAAGCATTTGAGCTTAAACTCCAAATGCTCCGGTGGGGCTGTTCAGTGGTCAGTTCCCAGTGACACAGAGAGGAGCAGTGTAGTTGTAAATGCAACCATGCTGAAACGGAATAAATTAACATAAAAAAAAGACAGACATGATGTTCCCCTCCTTTCATTTAGCCTGCAGTGAAAGAATCTGATCTTTGTTGCATAAGATTAAAAAATAGACTTTCTGTTCCTGTGCAAAAGTCACTGTCTTTCTGAGCAGTTTATACTTGCCTCTCCATGAGCGAGAGACACAGAGAGAAAGAGAGAGAAACATCGCCCCCACGTGGGGGGGAAAGGTTAGTGCAATCTGAACCAAGCGGGCTGGACGGATAACAACACACCATTCCTCCTTAGACTGTATCATGGAGGAAGGGCATCTACCCACACCTCTTCATGGATATGTTTGTATGCATGTCTGTTTGTATGCGTGTCTGTCTGGTTGTGTGTGTGTGTGTGTGTGTGTGTGTGTGTGTGTGTGTGTGTGTGTGTGTGTGCAGGGCACTCGACCAAGTGTCTCCAAAACAGGTTCATTTGTGAGATTTAGTTTCATGACAACTTCATTAGAGGAATTTCTTCAAAAAACAAAAAAAACAAAGGAAGAGAAAGCTCAGCTCCGAGAGCAAATTAAGCCCAATTCAACTGAAATCTCACAACACAAACGTGGTCATCCTCAAGTGATGAACAAGCAGAGGGACTATGAGCGCCAATCATCCAGCATGCCTAGTAGCAATGGTCCAGGAATCCAGAGGTGCACTTAATCTTCGCTGCAGTGTGTGTGTGCTACCTGCAGACAGGCGGGTTTACTTGCAGACAGCCTTTATCAGGATGTGCTTGATATTGGATCTTTGCAGCTGAGATGTGTATTCATACCAGACAGGTGGCGTTACTTGCAGATCGCCTCCAGGGCATCCAGGGTGCGTTTGATGTCACGTATCTGAGCAGCCAGGGTGTGTATGGGCTGCATGGAACGATCCAGCTCCTCGCAGCGAGCCATCAGTGTGTACATGCCCTGTGGGAGTCAAAATATAAGGCAGGATGAAAAAAGCTATATTGTCTGATCATAGTCCGCTAACCCTTCAGTTGGCATTTGGATATAAATATACTTCAAGGTCACAGTGATTTAATAACAATCTTTTATCAGACGGAAAAAGTTGTTGAGTTGAGTTAAAAAGCCACATAGATTTATATTCATCAACAACACTCCAGATATGACTAGATCTACACTATGGGAGGCATAAAAGGCCTATATCAGAGGGCAGATCATTTCTCATAGTTTAATCAATAAGCAACAGATAGAGAGAACACTCTACACGCTTACAGTTGAAATTACAGAAATAAATTGACAGTACTGTGCTTCCCCTTCTTTTGACTTGCATAAAAGAAAAATCCCTTCAAACTGAACTTAATCTAACTCAAGAAGAAAAACTATGATACTATGATAGGGTTGTCCACTTTTTGTTGTATGTTGTAAAATACATTCTAGTAGCCTGTATTCCTCAAAATTGACCGATTCATATAACGATGATAACATGACTGCCAACAAATAAAAGAGGATGTATAAAAGATAACACAATTCAAAACTAAAAGTTTTAAGTGTTAAATCATTTTGTAGTGAAAGTTTATAATTCCTGTTCCGACAGAAGTACTCAACTACATTTCGTGGTTTCCTCCATTTTCCAGAATTACTACTAACTATTTGTTGCTTTCTGTCTCACACACACAAACACAAGGTCACCTTTATACTCATGTCCACAGACTCTCCCAGGCTGTCAACTGAGTCTCTGTAGGTCTGGATGTAGCCCACACTCAGAGCTGTCATCTGGATGAATAGACAGAGGGATCAATCAGTGACACAGACTGAAGCAAAAGAGATGTGTGTGAGAAATATTCAGTATGGAACAAAATGAGAATAATACACTAAATACCATGAATTGGGTCATTTGAAGACAGGACCGACAGTTTTAGACTCACATTCTGGATGGTTCCATTGAGGCTCCGCATCATCATCTCCACACTGTGCGCCACTTCCTGGGTGTGTTTCTGAAGATCCAACAGGACAGCGGGATCAATGGGAGGGATATCTGCTGGTCGCCGTGACAACCCCCGGCTCCGGTAGATGGGACCTGAACAGTCCGCTGGTGAGAAATAATAATGAAGTTAGATGCATAATATACACTAAGAGAGCTGCAACTAAAGGTTATTTTCTATTGGTTATTCTATAGTACAAGTATAATCTAAAAAAAGTTTTTTTTTTAAATAGTGAAAAATGCTCATCACAGATTCCCAGAAACCCATTTATAAATAGTGTGTAAGTAACAGTCCCAAAGATATTGAATCTATTATGATTTTAAACAGATAAAAGCAGAAAATTCTCACATTAGAGAGAAAGTTTTTTTGCTAGATTAACAAGAAATTACTGATTGTCAAAACTTGATTCTCTGACAATTTGCATTATATTAGTACAAACACACATTCATACAGACCACACAGTCAGTCAGAGAAAAATGAGTGAGAGTGATGCAAACCACCAACAGGCACGAGCTAAAAATGACTATAATAATTGAGTTGAAAGAGAAAAAAAGTGACACAAATTATACACAAGAGTAACTGAAGATTTATTCCCATTTGAAAAAACACCTGCTCCTATAAAAAGACTGCCTTCACAGATTTAAACAAATGATGGCCCTTAACTAAAACACTTGCCCTTAACCATTAAATCTTGGAATACATAAAACATGTGCGGCCAGTGGACCATGGGGGGAAAAAAAACAGGTTTCCATCTCTGAAAATGGGTCCTGTCAGGCTGCAGCAGGACCTCAGTTACAAATCCCTCCAGTCTAAACAAAGTCTGTGAGTCATCCATTGTAATTGAATCAGCAGGTAGAGGGAATGAGCAGCCGAACAGGGCATACTGACTGTGTTCTTGTGTTTAAATTGAGTGGCCAGTTTACCTGACACTCTAGTCCAGAGGGGTTTTTCTCTGAATGAAGGGCAGCAGTTCAGAGTCCTTCTGGAAAAACTGACAAGACAGATGGCTGCTAATGGACAGGCTGGACTAAGTCAACCTGCTGAACTTCTACAGATGATTTGATTTCTGAAACTGCCATATATGTGTGACCTTTTGGAAATTGATCTCTAAATTCCTGTGGGGTTGAGTCTGGTGCCTCGTTAAAACATAGACTGAGGCTAATTTAACCACCCAGGAACAAGTAAAAAGATGGAGAGAGTGAGGGTAAAGTGTCTTTGTCACATTTTAATTATTTATCTAAAAATCTCACCTAAAATAATACAGTTGTTTAGGATTAAATGAACAAACTACAATCATACCACACTGTACAGGACAACCAGCTGATTTGTTATTGAAAAAAAAAAAAACATTATAATGTAGTATTGCCAAAAACGTGGTTCTTAACCCTTTACTAAATTAGTCTCAAACCTAAAACTTGAAGAACAAGAGAAAGACTGAGTACAACCAGTACAGTCACAAAGCTGTCTAACAAGGTCTGATAGCTATCGAAAAAAGGTTGCGACCCACATTTTTTTGTGGCTGCCATTGTTTCCCTGACTAACAGCTACCATCCCTCATATGAAGCAGATGTCCGAGCAGATATTAGAAGCAGTTCAGATCAGTTCAGCTTGTTTAGATACCATGTATTTCTAAGTTACTGGTTGCATTATATAAGCACTGTCAGCGCAATAACTCCATTTCACTGTGATCATAAAGATTTCATTCAGTCCAACCAATAAGGAAACCTGACAAAGACGATAATTGATAAAGATGTGAATTTAGAGTTTCTCTTTGCTACACTATTCTGTTCTTCAACTAAAGCTATCACGAGCACACAGTGGACTTCCTAACTGAACTGATATATCTGAGATATATCAGTTTCACATGCCTCGAAGAGGTTTTTTTTTTTATCTACTCAACAAAACACGTCAAATGATGATGACTTATTGATAAACTTGACTTACATATGTTAATCTATACTAATAATGTTAATCATGTTTTCAGACCTTCTGCGTGCTACCAAAGGTCAGGAAGAGAAAATAATCTGCACACTGTCTTCACAAATATGCACTGTAATCAGGTTAATATATACTGTATGATCAAGAGCTTCAGTAATAAAATAATGAGATGAAAAAAACAATTTTAAATTAAGTGAAATAAATTAAGTACAATTTGCAGAGACTAAACTGCTACAGTGTGAACACTGTAGGATGGTAGATGATTCATGTAAGCATCCATCAGTTAATCACAAGATGACACAGCAATTAATTAGCTTGAGATATATCATCGATTTTCCATTACTTTGACCAAAGTTATGCATAAATAATGAGAAGTGACTGACTGGGCCTGTTAGCCTCTGCAGCAAAAAAGAAATGGCTATAAATCTGCAAGTCGGACACCCTGCACTGCAGTTTCAGCACCACTGCCAATAAAGATGCTATTAACCTGCTGAAATGCCATTTCTGGCACCTTCTGCAGAGAAAAATAAAAGCAGTTCATCGGTTACAGCCTCCTGACCCTCAAATATTATGCAGTTGTGAACCTGCATAGATTGCACTATGTACATCCTCCACATCAGGACATATACTCTATGCACATGTTTACTTTGCACATGTCAAATACGACACAACAGAAAAAACACATATATACTGTATATACCCACACTTCCACTAATGGGCCAATAATAGATAGAATCTATACAATAATAGAAGAAGAAAATGTACTTTATTTCTATGTTTAAATAAAATCTTGTGAATTATGCCTCAACTCATACTCACAGTCACTGCAGTCCAGACTAGGCTTAGAGCTCATCTTGATTTTCTGCTCCAGGTTCTTGGTGATGAAGTGAGTCAGGTCTCCTTCATGGCTGACCGTCCCTTCGAGCTCCAGAGCTGAGGAGATTGTGGCCCGTCGGCCCTCTGACTGGCCACCTCTGCCTCCTCCCCGGGCCCCCGAACCACCTGTGGAGAATACGCCAACATCACCTGAATCATGTTGTAAAATACTGCCAGTTCTTACTGACCTTGATGTAATTCCACTACGTTAACCTGTCTGCCTGATATCTACCTCCACATGCTTGGCTGATTTCATCCAGGCTCTTGCTGTCCTGCATCCCCCGGACGTTGCGAACCCAGACCTGGGCCATGACGTGGGGAGGGCAGGGGACGTCGTCTGAGGGCAGAAGAGGAGGTGGAGGAGAGGAAGAGGATGTGGTGCTGGGACCGGGGGCTGATGAGGAGTAGTGTCGCGAAGACTAAAGAGTACGTGAGGAGGTGAACAAAGAATGGAGTAGAAGGGGAAGTGAAAAAGAGAAGTAAAATTACTGCTTAATAAATCCCAGTGACAAAGCATTATGAAACCAGCCCGAGAGCTTCACATTTTTCTTGCCATTTATAATCTCTCCCTTCTCTGTGCTCAAGTCTCAACAGAGTCTATTTAAATGCAAGCAGTTACGTCCTGATGGTCTACATTTATTTGCCCTTCCTTTCGTTCCAATTGTGCTCATTACAACTGTTGACTGTTGTCATTTGTCATTCCCATAATGCCCTCTGGTACACATAATCTAGTCTACTCACCTCCACCTCTTTTCTCCCTCCTGCACGCTGATGAATCCACTTTTTTTCATTCTTCTCATCGTCCTCCTCATCCTGTTTTTCTTTCTCTCCATCTTCCTCGTCCTCCTCCTCCTCCTCTTCCTCTTGGCTATCAGTGCCTCCATCTACAGTCTCTGCCTCCGTCTGCTGTCTGTATGTGGTGGGAGGGCCTCCTCGCTGAGATGAGTCTTTGGAGTGTGCTTGCTGTGCAGAGCCCCACAGCAGAGCTGCACCAGGAGGCTCAACAGTGTTAGAGGCCTCAGGAATGTCTGTGTCTTTAGAGCCTGATTCTGTGTCTCCTGTGCATGTAGCAGCAGGGAGGGAGGGGTCTGTCACATGAGAGGTGTGTGATGATAAACTAGATGTTCTCTCATTATTGTATGTCTCTGTCTCCAAGCGGCCTTCCCCATCGTAAACTCTGTTTTCCACATCTACGTGGTTCTCTGTGTGTTCAAGGGCTCTGTCTTCACATTCCTCCCCAGGACAGGACACTCTGCTTCCCCCACGTTTCACCGAGACTGGAACATGAGGGCCGTTCTCTGAAGGGACGGGTGTCACAACTCCGTTAGCTGTTTCTGGCACTTCTGTGCCAATAACAGGGGAGAGACTCATCCCTCCACCTGCTGGCGAAGAAAGGAAGAATGTTTGAGGAAGAGATTCTGCCTTTAAATCCATGTTTAATCCGTAATTCAATTAGAGTGGTTTACCACTCGTCTAAAGGGTTTTACCACGTAGCGCTGATAACTAGAACTGTGTATCATTTGAAGATTTCCGTAAGCGGACCAATGCCAATGCGATACCTAGGTTTTGCTACTCATACCAAAACAATGCTTTTTTCATGCCTTTGTTTATGGGATTGCTTGCTCAATGTATCAGTGGTAAATTAGGGACGTTTTTAGCATGATCTATATATATTGTTGTATAGTCAATTTGTGAAATTTCAATTAACTGTTCATGGGATACAACAACAAGATAGGAATGTCTGTTCTTATTTAATTAAGTAAATTACATATAGTTAAGGTGCATAACACAAGTACAAAGTCTGTAAATTCTAGTGTTGCATAAAGAAGTCCTGCCCACTGATCTGCAACATTACCAACAACGGTATAATAACATAACCAGAGAAATAAAAAGGGAGGGCGACCGTATAAGCTGTCTCTCAGGCTCCTGAATGAAGTAAGAGAAATGCTCATGAAAACTGGGAGATTTAGATTCTGAGGAAGGGACTGTGGTGAGGATCTACACAGATGTGCAACAACATTTCAGTGCCGCAGTTCAAGATGTTACATGCCAGTGGTTTCTTCTCAGCCTCCAGATGTGAAACCTAAGATCTTAACCCTGTGTGTGTTAATATGAAGACTGTAAGTGTAGCTTATAATCATTTAATCATGACACGCCCTTGTATCCTGTTATTTTATTCGTTGCCACGACTATTGGATCATAGTAACAGCTGTTGTATAGGAGAGCTGTGCCACTTATAAGTTTTAGCTCACAGTTGTTTTCCCATATGTGTGAAATGACGTAATATTAGGCTGCTTAGCCTAGCACTAGCTTAGACACTAAACTAACTTAGCTAGTGTTAACACCAGCTTGCTTTTAAGTCTCAAGACTTTATCTAAACAACGCTTTTGCCAGGTTGAACAGAAGTCCGTGGGCAAAGACAAAGACGCTGTTTAAGAGACACACGGGAACAAAGAAACCAAGGAGACATAAATGATTGTCAACGTTGAGGAAGTTGATGTCGTTAGCCGCCTAGCTAGCTCGCCCGGCTAACGCTAGCTGCCCAGGCCTTTAAATCACAATGTTTGTACAGCTCCACTTTCATTGTCTCACTCTGGGACATAATAATGGATACCTGGTGGTAAAATCTGTATTTATCTATTGATAAGGTCACACAATAGTTCCACAGAGCTTAAATTAAATAAAGAAAACACTCACCAGTGTAGTTCCTATTCAGAGAAATGTAAGCAGCTACCGAGTCCGATATGAAAATCCTTCCCCACAGAGCTCAACAGAATAGTTCCGCCTTGCAAAGAAAAAAAAAAGCTTTTCAAACGAAATAATTTAATATATGTTGATGATACCAACTCTTTTATATTGACACAGTAGTATATAATAGAGTAACAGATTTATCGAAATAAGTAAAACTAAGTTCACCCTGACCTACAAGTTATTGTTGTATTTAAGTATTTAAAACAAGCCTAAATAATTTCAGAGCAGTGCTGCTTCATACTGAATAACATCTGGCTCATGCATGTTGTAGCTGGGTGAGATTATTTGTTTCTATACACATCATCATGGTTCATCCTGTATGTATCTCTGTCCTCCCACAGATGGAGACAAACACCACATGGCCTCAGGCAATGGCTTCAGTTGCACAGAGGTGACTTCATAAAGCAAAATGTACAGAAGCAGAGTGTCCTGATGGACAAAGACACAGGAGGAGTTCAGCACCCAGCTGTGTTGGCAGGTGAGCCTGAAGGGTCCTTGAACTCTTTCAGCTGTAGGCAGACAGCTGAGTCTGACCCCTGACCTCCCGGGGAGGGCAGTAAACATTTCCTCAAATAAAATTTGAATATGTATTAACACAGAAGATATTATGTGTCTTTAAGGTTATATAAAAAACACTGTTTGAGTGGAAGCTGTATTTTTTAAATATACCTTTTACAGCTATAAGATCAGTGTGTCCTGACTGTGCCTATGTGATGATCTGAACATGTAATCTGTTGATTGCATACTGTATGGTGCTTAACTTCTATGTCTTAGTGATCAGTTTACTTTTCAGGAGTTATTATGACCATACAAAACAAAAACAAAAGCAGGCACAAAGATTAGCTAATAATTTCTATTGGCAACATGATACTAATCAATTCAGGGAATCATAATGACATAATTATTATTGATATAAACATAAGATCCCTTCTTGTTACCTCATCCTCACAGGATCATCTTACAAACTGGTGTTTTATCATTTCGATCGATTCCAGTCATCATTAAAATAAGTTGTCTGTGTGCAAAAGGGCAACCGGGTTTCACAATTTTTCACAGTTGTGTCTATTTAAATTAGCTGCAGAACTGCTGTTCTTGTTTAACCTTATAAACCACTGATGATTCTGATGGTAAACACACTGGAGAAGAGGCTTAAATAATCAGAAGGTTTTCAGATTAGCTTGTTTGCCTCCACAGTGGAAGCCGGGCCAGCGTCTGTGGTTTTTTTAAAGCTTTGAATGTGGCAAGAAATGACAAACACTGTTGCAGAGGAGGAGAGAGTATTCAAAACCACACTGTCACCACATCTAAAGATCTTGTAAAATATCTAATCTACCCCATCCATTCAGGCCAGCTGCTCCCTCTCTCTCAGTGGAGATTTGGCTGTTTTGTCTCATTTGTTCCCTCTCCTTTTGTACCAAACATCAAAGCCTGAGACATTTACCTAAAGACAATTAGACCTCTGAAATAAGCCAATGGTTTCCAGAGTTTCCCAATAGAACACTCAATAACCACTGTGACCCTCACCAGAGTTTCTTTTTCTTTTTGAGGAGATTACTGTCAGAGGGGAGCTATTTTAACAGACAAGTTACTGCCACAAGAAAGGCAACGTTTAAGAAAATGAGGGATGCAACGCAAATTGAAAGCACGTGCCTTCAAACAGATGTGGTTTTTTCCATAATAAAAGCTGGAGACTGCATGTTGCACATTGGCAGCCAGAATGACAGTGAGGGCCTCTAAACCATATTTCCATAAATCACAAATATTAATTGCATCCCAGTTCAGAGGCAGGTCGACTGTATTCTTCAGAGGACCAGAGCTGAAGCTCCTCCTCCTCAAAGGAGACAGTTTATCCTCACAGAGACCAAAACTAATGCTGCATTCATTTCTAATCAACTACCAACACCAGGAAGCTGCCTTCAAATGGTGGACTGAAGAGTATAGAAGGGAAAGAAAGGGCAAAAGCCTTACACTCTAAACTCCAATCTTTTTGTTTTAAATGTTAGTTTAAAATGTCAGCAGAACTTGCTTTCCTCAGATTAAATGGTAGTCTATGTACTAGTAAGTTCATTTCAAAGGACACTCAGGGATCTGTTTTATTAAAATGTATTCATCGTAAACTACCAGAGGTGTTTCAATTGCCAAAACCTAAGACCCAAGATATTCAGCATTACCATTTTTAGAAGTTTACATTATGCTTATGTCATGGGGGACAGTGGGGGGCTTTGGGGGGGAACTTCAGTGACTTTTTTGAAAAGGTTGTCGAAGCTAGTGTAGAAGAAAATGTATTCATCAAGAATGCTCAACTGGAAGATCTAGTGGTTACAAGTCAGAGGAGAGGACACCATCAAACAGAGGTGTCTGTGGAAATATGTGCATATTCAACAACCATGATGCCCTCAAATGTCCAGTGGAATTAACTTGAGATTCACAGAAAACCATCTGAGGCAGTTAGCTGTAAAATTCAATCTTAAGCATGAGCAGACAGTTTCATTCAGCATGAGAACTTCACTGAAAGGGATACTGCGGTGAGGTGCACAAACCTCTTATTACACCTAAAAGGCACTTTTATGAGTAAAATGGTAAAAAGAAGACTTTCTGGTTGACTGAGCACTTGGGGGAAAAAAGTCAAATGGGTAGATGAGTCATTCTGTGTGGCAAATACCAAAAGCGTCTCTTCCTGAGTGCTTGTTTTCCTCCTGTGTTCTGAAGCTCTGTAATGTTTGGTGCGTATACCAACCATGCTGCATGTTTTTATTGAGTCATTTGGAGGGTGCGGAGAAAGCCAACAAATATAAAGTAATTTTCAGTCACCACTTATGTAATGTCTAGATGTTATGACAGAGTGCCACCCAGCATCCAGAGGTAGTTTAGCGGAGTCAGCCTGTCATTTTTTTAACAGGAGCACATGTCTTGAGATTGTGGCTGTGGATTGCTGTGAAACTATCACTGACACCAGGCCCCTCTGGATTTAATTCCAAATCTGTTCCAATTTGTGGTTTGAATCACCGCCTCACCACCTTCATGAGGTGCAAGATTGGTGTAGAAATTTCAGTCTGGCTTTGCTGTTTAATTTTTTCCAGCCATTTACGCCCAAACCCACCACAGCTGTTCTCAGACGTTTACCATATTGTGCCTATGACTGTGATAAACCTGTCACTAATATCTTTTATGAGGCCCCTGTTGGTTCTTCACTCTGGTGCTCCATAATACCTCAAGTGATACAGCCATGCTAGCAGCTTTGTGAGGCTGTACTTATGGGCACAGCATGCTATTTAGCAAGTAATGTTTGCCAGGTTCACCATCTTAGATCAGCGTGTTAGCATGCTAACAATTGCTAATTACCAATAAAGTTAAGAGAGGCTGATAGAAAGGATTCGTCCTCTGGAAAACATGAATGGCTACAGAAATTTCATCTTGTATGTAGAGATAGTCCACTGCATAAGTGAAAGTTTTGACCTGCTGGCGCTACTGGAGGACAAGCAAGGACATCATCAAACTCATAAGGATGAATCCTCTGGGGACAATGAATGTCTGTAAAGCATTTTATGGCTGTGTCCAAAGTGATGGACTGACCAACCAACATTGTCATCCCTATAGAGTTGAGAAAACGTCTAGCAGCTCTGAAGGCAACCAAAGTATCACTGTACTAATGCTGTATGTTGGTGAAGAGAAACCCAAATGACCTTGTGCTCTTGAAGGATATCTGTGTTCTTACAGTAAAAGTCAACTTTATTTCTGTTTCTTTTTTATAAACAGGAAGATTTTCTTAGTTAACTCAATACACACAAGAACATTCAAATGTTTCCATCTAAAAGCGTCTGTGATGAGCATGTGAAAAGATGAGTCGCAGTCAGTGTTGAGAAGAAGTTTCCACTGCTCATACAAAAAAAAAGGATTTTCTGAAACGTCCCCTGCAGAAAGGATTTAATATGTTTGGCATGGCCTCAATTAAATTCAATTTACACCAATCAGTCAAAGAATCTATTTATTGAAATGAGGTCTAGTTTGCAAGGCTAGGTGGTACCCTTTGGCAATATTACAGTATAACAAGAGAGTCTATACAATATAATTATGGTATCACATCTTCGTCAGACACAAAGGCTTGTAGGAAATACTAGAGAAGGAATTTCTCATTCCTAACAAAATACACAGCAATGCAATACACTTATTTCTTTTTAATGCATGGTTGTCTGTGATATCCTGTTTCTCAGACTGGAACAGTATCAGTTCAATCATCTCCTCAAGGAGATTCTTGTCCATGATTACAAAGTGAATTGAAGCAGTTAAAAAAAAAAAGCCACAGTTGCTCACAGTTGACCAGAGCCTGTCAAGTTTCAAAAGTAGCGTGCACACATTACATTATAAACAAACATCAGAAAACAATGAAGTTCTGCTGACCTCTGCGTTACCTCAAGGGTTTGGAAACAGTAGAGCAACTAAAGTGGAGGCTGCTGGGTATCTGGCTCGATTGGAACGTATCGTTCATCCATCAGATTGCTCAGCAGTACATACCAGCTGAACATTTAATGAGAAAGCACTGTATGTGGTCACTTTGGAAGAGATGGATGGGGTTTTGGTATTGTATGGTATGTTACTGTTTTGGAGTAAAGACAGTGATGGACAGTGTGCATGAGAAATAATGAATCCCTGTAATGTAACTGTTTTTTGTGTCCAAACCTATTTGCGTGCATGTGCGTCTTTAAAAAATAAATGATTATGTAGGCCTGGTCTGCTTCGCTGACAGCTATGTATCCAAGATGTGAAAGCAGCTGAGGGCCCTGAGGTTTACATTATCTGGGATTACACTGAATTGAATGTTCACTCAACTCAACCTCGACAAACTATATATTATTTAAAAGTCATTTATAACTTTGTAAAACATGTTAAAATTCCAGTATCACTGCAAGAACTGCTTTTGTTGTCAAATAGAATAATAGAGCGACCTTTCAGAGGGGACCAGGATTGCCACATCAAATCAAAATGGTCATTTTCATTCAGGCACAAAAAGAGTGTGTACGTGTTAATGGGGTTTGAAACTTGATGAAAATGCATTAAGATAATCCAATGGAGTTTTAAAGGTATGTATGAGCCAATGTAGTAGAATTAGCTTAACCCATAAAATACTTAAACTTAACTTAAAAACTAACAATACATTGACACAGTTATACTTTACTTGACAGTGTGTATATCTACAGTATATTTGTCTTTGTGTGTATTTCAGTATCTGGATACGTATAGGCATAACCACAAAACACAACCATACTCATTTGAAAGCAGACCTTTATACACATTTACAAAAAGAAAAACAAAGTCTCTGCACATGAGAGGAGATTATACAGTTTCATTCCGTCTGCAAAGAAGTCGTTCTGGAAAATCACAAGAGAGGAATATTGACACTGAGATGTAAATACAGCATAACAGAGTGAAACACATGAGGCCGTTGTAATGAATGAGGAGCAGCTCTGCCTCACGTCTTTGAGGGAAACACTAAATGTTTAAAATGGCTCGCCATAAAAATGTCTCGTAGGAGTTCTCCCTCCTACTCGTGTGGTGTTTGGATCTGACACAAATATACACATATTACCCCACACACACACAGCATCCACAAGCCGCCCGGCGTCCATACAAGCTTGATTATATTTTTTTTTAGGTTGTTGGATTTGACGCATATGTATGGGACAAAATAGAAACTCTTAAGCTGGCAGAGCACTCAAAATGAAGTCAAAGTTGGCATCTTCTCTCAAGAAACTGGAGGGATAGAGAACGTGGAAACAAGCGTTACATTTGGCTTTGTTTGCCGGAGGGTGTGCACTCTGGTTAACAGAACATGTCAGCAGTTTTGCACAGCCTGCATTTTCACTCACCAACATGATGTTGCCTGAAAGCTGGTCAACAATGTCATACGACTGGTGTCCGCCACATATAGATAGTCGAAGTCACTAGCCGCTAGCCTCTGCCACTAGCTTCTGTAATGTAATGAAGGTTTCTGGGGTTTTATGTCACTTTTTAAGGGAAGAGTTCAATATGCTAGCTGCATTCCCCATTTTCAGTCTTTGTTCTAAGCCTGTGTGTTAAGCTAAGCTAACCAGCTGCTGCTGGTACCGTCGCGTCACTGACATGAAAATAGTAAATGAACTAACACTCACACACAAACATATTTTCCACAATGTCAAACTATTCCTTTAAGCTATAATTATTTACAATTGTACTGGATACAGCAGCTACAGTACCCTTCAACATTTTGACAAAGATATTTTGTTTTTAGTATTAACGCTCCGCAGCTTCCATGTGGCTTTGCTATAAGTTAATGGCTTCCACGTTGTATTTTATGTTGGTTGAAGTAACAGGGTGTTCATGTTTTATTCCACAATTGGATAGAAATTTATCTCAAAATGAACAGAAAAAAACAGTGTTTGAAAGCTCAAAAATAATCATCGTGTTCAAATTTTACTAGCCAGTAGAGTAGCTTCGACGAACATGAACAGACAGGCTTTTGGCCAGGAAACCCTCGCAGTATGAACTCACAGGTTATATCTGCTGGGTTAACGCCATTAAACACACTATGGCCACTATGTTCACTTGTCATGGCCTTAATTTTATATTTGATGGCAGTTTAACAACATACCAAATCTTGATTTCATTTGGATTATACTGCCAGCTTCACACTCGCCCACACACCCTTTCATTTTTTTTTTTAGACGTGGCTGTACCTGACAATTACACATTTTCAATATTCAACAAATACCCAGAGCCACAACCTCCCCCATGAACTCTCTCACTCTTTCACTACTTTAAAAGACACACATTCAGAAGTAGCTCAGCACTGGTTAGCTCTTTCATGTGGCCGAAGCCAAAAAGCCAAGGAGCCAAGGCCCACGTTAATTTTCTGCGGGCTCTGCTCCGAGTCGTTCTGGTTTATTTTTCTTACAGCATCAAAAGTGTCTCCGATCCATAGCTGAGTTCCCCATTTGACAGATTTATTGGTTTGGCCTCTGAACCTTCGTTTCAGCTCCTCTCACTCTGATCCCACTCATGTCAAACACACACAAAAACACACAGATACTGTACAAACACGCACACAGAAATACATTTAACAACCAGCATTGCAAAGGGATTGGGATCCTGCAGGACCCAGAATGGGAAATATTTACTGTAATATTGGCGGGATTGCACGCTCTGCATCATCACTGTGGGATGGAATTAAATATACGAAAATATAAGAGGCTGTTATTATTGGACTTAACCATGCATGTAAACGCATCCCCTTCCAGTAAATCATAGAAAATCAAGTTAAGTTTTAATTGAGTTAGTCTCTCTGGCTTTCTCCTTCTCCATTCTGTCCCATGAATCTTTTAAACATCTGTAACATTACATATTTTCATCGCTAATGCAATCTCATCTGTAAACTACTGCGCTATCAGCACTGGGTTTGTATTTGTTGTTCTGGGAACCGACATAAACTATCAGAGAAACCGAGAAAGAAATAGTCAAAATTTAAATACACTTTTATTTCCATGCTGCCTCAAGCCAAAGCAGTCTTTTAAATGCCTGCAGGATGGGTCTGATTCTCAAAGAAATAGCCATGATTGCAGACGTGACTGATCTGAATTTGCACAGGTGGAAGTGGGAAGGTGCATCAACAGAAGCAGATGGTAGCACTCCAAAATCTTGTAAAAAAAAAATAAAAATAGAGAAGTACTGTGCAGACGTCAATGTGTGGGCACACAAACATACAGTACAAGCATACAAAGACAGACAAACATTTATGTTACATAAGCATCCAGTTTTGTGAGACATCAAGGTTGAATTAGTTGATAAAGAGCTTGAAGCATTTCCCCCCAAAAAACCTCACAACTTATGAAACAGGCAGTTTTCACTCCAGATTTAACAAATAAATACCACTAACAATAAAGTTAAATAGAAGTGGGACAAATTTGCTGATTTAGTATTAACATTAAAAACAAATCACAATTTACTGCCTTGCAAATTCGCTGAAGTCGCTCAAATCCAAAGGCCGGAGTCCATTTGACGCCAGTCCTGTCTAGTACTTTCTCAAGTTCCAGCTTAATAAAGGCTTCTTTATTATACATCGGCCTGCTTCATAATTTACAGCCAGATGCCATGACCAGCTGGAGCTACAGGACCAGCAGTATATTATTCCACTTCTTTAGTTGGGTTGGAATCCACTCAAAGTCACCAGTGGTCCACTTTGGGTCCTGAGCCACAGGTTGAGAAACATGCATGTTCTGTACAGAGTCTCTTGGCAGTTAAGTTCATTGTTCGGCCCCTCTTTGAATCCCGTTTTCTCGCCGATGTCACATCAAACACGGTGAAAAATCTTTTTAAATGTATCTTGATATTTAACACGGTTCATAGCAGTACAGAGCATCAGTCATTGCAGCTTTTACTTGCTCGAAAATGTATTTTAAATACTACCATTTAAAATATCCCTCTGTGTTTTGCCAAAAATGTCTGGTAGTAATGACCCTGGTTACGAGGCTTAGACTCATTAAAACCATTTAGAACACATTCAATCATGAATGTCAAGAGGAAATGTAAAGTTTTCTTTTAGTTACTGGGAAGACTTGACTGTGTGAACGTATTTGTTCTTTAGAATTTGTCTAAAACTGTACACTGTCTTCACATGCGACTCCAAGCAAACTAAACCAACACTCAAAATAGGACTGTCTCTCCATTTCTGTTCACTTTAACACATTTTCCCACACCTATACTGAGCTCTCTGTTGCGTGGCATGAAATCAGGGCCACATATGTCTGCGAACCTAACATTTCTGAACCTTAAAGAAGAACATAATGGAAACGTCTCCTGCAGTGTGTCTGTGCGGCTGCAGCGTCCTGGGAAAGTAGGTCTGTAACCTCATCAAAGCCTTTGCCATGCTTTTCTCTGCCTTTCATCTCTGTGGTCGCGGTCAGCCATCTCGCGGTCAGACCCCACCTATCTGAAGAAACTAACAAAACTCTCACTGTAGGTGAACTGTTGGTTTATATCCATTTGGGGGAAAAAGCTGCATGTAACTCATCAGCGCTATTTACTGCTATTCACAACCTAAATATACAATATTCAATTAACCATCACTGCTGATTATTTTCAAAAAAAGGTTTTTAGATTAATATGAACTGTTCAAGGATACTCCGACATCTGAGAGTGGCTGAACAGCAGCCAAATCTTTTTTCACAAAGTTTTATGTCAATCAAAAGGGTTTGATTGATTGAACCTCAGTTCCATGAAGGCCAAGGAGAGTGTCTGGGAAATTTGAAAAAACTGCTGCTTGCAACTAAAATATCGTGACTTTGAAAAGGAAAGGGCAACATATTGTTCACGGTCATGGATTACATATCTCAAGCATTTTGCAACTTCGTGGAAGATGATTTTCAAAGCGAACTGGAATTACTGCCTGGAAGGTACGAATCAATCTAAAAACATCTGTTCTGCTTTGGAGAGTTGGCAGCGTGTACGTGATTTGTAATTAATAGGCAAGATCATGCAAAGCCACCAGTATGGTCCTTGAAGGCAGCACTCATTTCAGAAGGGGTTAGATGATTTTTAAAATGTTCAATATCTGCTTTTGGAACAAGACTTTTTTTTTCTCTCTCTGTAAATGCTCCAAATCCAAAACATCCTCTCCCATGTCCTTGTCACGACACAGAGTCAGTTAAACTGAGCGATCTGGACATGCAGTTCATCCTTCATTCAACATGCTATGCAATCTCTAATGTATTCTACTTTTGTTTCTTTATTCACAAGTCTTTTGTCACAAGTCTTTTGTCCAGTCTCTGCTGTTCACATCCTCCTGTACATACTTCAGTTGTTTGTGTGTAGCTTAGTTTGAAAGTTTGTCACTATAATGAAAGGATGCCTTTTTTTTGTTTGTGGATAAGTGCATGCGCATGTCGTAGTCTCTGTACATACAGTATATATCTGTCTCAGTGTATAAGTTAAGTGTGTGTGTGTGAGTGTGTGTACCTGTGTGCGTTTTAGTGTGGACATTAACATAATTGTGTGTGTATGTGTGTGTGTGTTTAAGTCACTGGAAATCCGCCCTCTTTTTCCACGACACATTCAAGCGCTCCTTGGGGCCCTCTGCTGTGGCTTGCTCCTGCTCTTCCTCCCCGCAGCTCTTCCTCCCCCTCCTCCTCCTCCTCCTCCTCTTCCTCCCCCGTGCTTGTGCCTCTCCCCCTTCTCTTTCTCCTTGTTTGGCTCCACCATGATGTCACCGTGGCGACGGTGGTTGCGCGGGGGGCGGTATCCCAGTGCCCGGCAGTGCTGGCCGAGGTTTCCTGGGTGAATCAGTGCCATCACGTCCTCGTACCAGGGTTGGGTTCCTGCGCTCTGATAGGATGAGCCAGACCAGGCAGCGAGGAGGCGATTGGCTGAGGGGCTCCAGACGGCGAGGCGGACAGTGACGGCGGTCCAGTGGTAGCCGTGCTCCTCCACCTGGCAGTGGTAGACGCCGCCATGAGACAGCTCAGCTTGACGAATCAGGACACCCCGCTCGATCACTACCAGTTGGTCACCTGTTACCACCTACAGAGAGAGAGAGAGAGAGAGAGAGGGAGAGAGAGAGAGATCAGATGAATACCGACTGAGTACTTGTGTCTATATTTGGTAGTCTAGTTAATGTCCATAAATTAGAGATGGGGGGATTGTTGATGAAGTGTGTGTGTGTACCTGGTTTAGTTCAGGACTGTTCTCTCCAGCCTGTTTGTACCAGGTAACAGCAGCGTGTCTGGATCGGGGCAGACACTCCAGGTAGGTGCTGTTGCCCTCGGCAACCATCATCAACCTCTGCTCCGCCTCCACCTGCAGCCCGGCTGAATGAAATCAAGGAGATGTGACGGGTTAGAGATCAGATTTATGTTCAATTTTAATATTGTTCGCTTTTTTTATTTTGTGGAGAGAATTGTTTCCATTGCTGTCTGTCTCCTCTCTTTTTTCATCAGTTTATTACTGATTTAATACTTTTGCCCATTAAAATATATTTACTTTGCATTTATTTTCAGTGTGTTTCACTCATTTGTGGAGTTTTTCTTTATCTGAATGTAAAGCTCCCTCATCACATATTCAATCACATACTTAATAAAAATAAATAAAATTGTCTCGAATGCTGTTACTTTGCGCTTCCTGCATTCATGTTCCATCTGTATTTATATGTGTACCAAAACATTAAACCATATACTATTCATATATAAGACAATGAGGATAAAAACTGTATGTTCAATAGATTAAAAACATATGTAGAACATTAACAGTAATATTTAAAATAAAAACTAAGTTGTTTGTTTTAAATAGTTAAAGCTCAAGTGTTACAGTAATTGCCTGCCAAAGGTTACACTACGTTGACTGTGTATAAGAATGAACCAACACTTTACAGTAAATTAGCTCCTCACCTCCCTGTCTGACACACTGAGTTAGTGGATCCTCGTCCTCTCCTAAGTGACGAGCATTCCTCCTGCAGAGAAAAAAACATGAAATTACAGTAAACAGAGAATTACAACCTCCTAGTCGCACGAAAGGCTGCAATGCTCATTACACCATGAAATGTGGAAGTGTTTGATGTAACAAACAATATATTAATAGTTTTATTTGAATGAAAGTGGGACCAAACAATGTAATGTTTGTGGCTCTAGAGGAAAAGCCCTGGGGATGATGAAATAAAAAAGCATGAATCCACTTGGGAGCATCAATGCTCAGCCTTTTGCTTATTGGATTTTGTGTGTGTAAAGTGGACATTATGGCTGATGGTGATGATGATGGCACCACAGGAAAGGTCTGAGTGTCACCAAAACATTATAATTGGCACATTTCATGGAAATATGTCCATTTGTCATACTCTGTAATGGAACCAAGTGTTGTTCAAGTGGAAAAAATGCTTAAAATTTAATCAGAAAGATCTGAGTTCAGATGTAATGTGAGCCACATTTCAAACTATCAACAAATGTGGTTTAAATCTGATTTGAGAAGATCGATTCCATGTGTTTGTCCTTTGCTATTCTATTGACAGAAAAAAATATTCAGCTTGTCAGATTAGTATTGTTTGGATGAGCAGATCTAATTTGATGTTCCTACCTGCGCACGGTGGGCATGTAGGGGCTGCAGGCGTGTCCATCCCAGGTGCAGTATGGATCTCTAGCCAGGCAGCACTCAGCGCAGGCCTGACCGTACAGCTCACACTGGTACAGGCCCAGCTGGGACACACCCTCCCTGGAGCCCACAAACAACCACTGCTGGAGATGGAGGAAAGGAGAGGGGGGGGATGAAAGATAGAAATAGAAATGGAGTGAGAGTAGGAAAGAGAACGACAAAGTGGGAAAGGGATACATGAGGAAAAGCCGAGAGAGAAAGAGGGCATTCAGTTTGCTCCCGTGAAACAGAGAGACACATTGACAATCAACAGCTAAACCAGAATCATCTTCACTCTGAGTCACACATCTTACTCACAGTGTAACAATGTCAGTGTGTGTGTGAGAAGCATGGTGATGCTTGCTTTTTATAATCTTGATGTGTGTATATGTGCGTCTGGTTGTGTGAGTGAGCCTAACATTTTTTTTTCATGAAACCCAGACTATTTTAATAATGCAAAGAGTATATCTGTGTGTGTGCGTGTGTGTGTGTGGCATCTCTTCATTACCGCTCCAACTGAGGTAAGGTAACCATAGCAACTGGTGATGAAGCTGTCCTTGGAGATACAAGGTGGAGAGATGAGTGATAAGTGTGATGTTGCTGAGTGTATTTGTGTGTGTGTGTGTGTGTGTGTGTGTGTGTGTGTGTGTGTGTGTGTGTGTGTGTGTGTAGGGGAGTTTGGAAGTTTGAAAGTGAGATTCTGTTTCTCTCTCTCTCATCTCTTACCTTTTTCTTTGAGAGTGTCATGGCTGTCACTGGTGATTTGTGCTGTGGGGAAGAGAAAAGAAAACTGAGAAACTGTCGCACTCAGATAGATAGATAGATAGATAGATAGATAGATAGATAGATAGATAGATAGATAGATAGATAGATAGATAGATAGATAGATAGATAGATAGATAGATAGATAGATAGATAGATAGGCTTAAAAAAACAGGCTCAACACATAATGAATTGATTACTAAAGAAAAAATAAGGCTTTTGTTTGAAAATCTTTGGGTGCGGCTGAAAACCACAACAACAGTTTTAAATAATTCAGAGAACTGATCTCATATTCTGGTAATCAGATATGTTTCCATATCTCCCTACAAGAGTTTCACGGAGCACATACAATTTACATTAGAGAGCAGAAAAAAACACGGCCTGGTCATTTTCAAAGATATCTGAACCACATCAGTGAGTGTAGTTTTTCTTGCATTTTGTATTTGGGCCTCAGTGGAATTAATATTGGACTGGTTGTCTTACATGATAACTACGTGCAGCTGTAGTACTTGTGTGCTAAATGTTTTTAGAGTCTTGGTACAGATACAAGCTTTGGATGAAAGCGTTTATTACATCATGTGCAATGTGTGTAATACGCTCGCCTTGAAAGGAGCATACCAGTGTTTTTGCCAGTACTATCTTCTTAAATACAAAACTCATGCATGCTTTGCATTGTTGCTGATAATGTCCAGAGCCATTGGTTTCCATTCATTTGCACAAGATATAAAAGGAGACAACACGGTAACTTTTAGATCAACAAATGTTTGATATTTAAAATGAAAAGGAAATGGATGGAAACCGATGGCTGCATGAAAGGCAGCAGAAATGATTAGCTGAAATGCAAAGTACACAGTAGTCGTGTTTATAATAAATGGTCTGAAACATGCAACACCCTTGGTATGGAGATGACATTAGGTTTTATACAGGAACAGATTGTTGTACCTGAAAGACCTGCAGCTGCTCCAGAGTGACCTCCTGACTCTGACCATGTTCTCTGGGCAGATGGATGGCCTTTAGCACGAGGCCTGAGTCTGCAGAAAAAAACAGAACAAACATTTTATAGTGAAAAAACCTGCACATTGGGGTTAAAACAGCAACCTACAGGGGAAAAAGTCCACAGCACACACTCTACCTGTGCCGATGAATAGCACGTCGTAGGTGCCATCGACAGCCTCTACTCTGTCGACCAGCAGTTTGCTGAACTTGTAATGAACACCCACTCTGACCAGGAGGGGGCGCTCTCCCAGAGGCAGGACATTTTCCTAAAACAGAATTTCATAATCAGAAAATGCAATAAATGACATGTGAAATATCAGACAGATTTATTTTATTGAGTATTTGTTCATTCACAATCGTCACTGACAAAGGTTTTGTGTCCCTTTGATGTGGTCTGTTTATCTGGCTTATTTCATTTCTCAATTTCATTTAAGAATTCGGACAAAAACAGAGAAAGGTTGCTTGACCCCACAATCGAATTAAATTAGATCTGTGTAATTTAATAATGTGAAATATCAGCTGAACCTGCAGCAGCGGGTGAGTCCTGCTGAAGAAGATGACGTCGTCAGGATACTCTCTGGTCGAGCTGTAACTTCCATAGGTACTGCTGGGACACTGAGAGGAAGAGGAAGAGGAAGAAATAGAGATGAATGTTTGTGGCGTAATTTAACTTTTGGTTCTCATACTGGAATGAAATTATAGTGCCTTTTTTGTTGACTTGTCTGGCTTTGTCCCAATATAAAGAGCATAGCGATCAACGTGTTTACTTCTGTATGACTACAAACAGTCAACTCACCAGTTCGTTAAGGTGATTACCGATTTAATGAACAAAGGAGAGAGTATTAACTTACAGTTCCGGGTCTGGGGTAGGGCACCTTGCCTGTGAACTCTGCCCACTTATATTGAGGTCCCTCCTTATGCAGGAAGTTTCCCTTGAAAGCCCGAACCACGTCCTCCATTCGGTAAACGCACACTGCTGATCCATTCAGGATATCACTGAGGATAGACCAGGCAGAAAGAAGGAGAACTGTCATTCATCACAGTCAGACTCAAATGATCTTTCCATCCGTTATTCCTCCAGCGTGCATGAATAAAAACATAATCTGAGGGTGTCTTTGATGATATTACTTGATGAGTTGCAAGAGTCTTAAAGCAGTAAATTAAGTAAGAAAGTGATGTACTGCATGAAGAGCTGTAAGTCATTGTGGCTTTTCAGCTTGAACGCATCAATTCACTGAATGTGCTCCAACCCAAAGTTCAGCCTGGATGAATGCGCTGCTTTCAGCACGCCAGTCCCGACCGCAACACATCCCATCCACTGTAGTTAAGATCATGGTTAAGATTTTGGCTGAGTGTCTGTGAGTTAAAGATTCCAGAGTATAATGGGCAGAGTTGCAAGAAAACACTGTGTTGTGATGTATCATGGTGGTTTCCTTCAGCTTGCATGGCTGACACATACAGTATGTTTAGTCTAATCTGTCTCTGGATGGAAGCTCTATTTTCTCTCTCAGTTGGCAGTCTCTGTGGCTGGTGTGTGACTCAATGGCACTTTTTTTCAACCTGAGCATAAAATCGTGCCGCTAGAGAATCATCCTTCCTTAACTTGCGAGGCAGCTAATTTTGCGAGATCACAAATTAAAGAGATCACACGAGAATCAATTTTAGCAGACTTCTATGGAGCAAAATCCGGAACAATGGTTTTTATAATTTGAAGAAAAATTGTAATTAAAATATGAAAAGGTCAAAATCCAAAATCCAGTGAAGAAAGTGTGGTTATACAATACATATTTAAAGATTAAACCAGTGGGTCCCAACTTTTTTGGTTTGAGTGCTTTTACCCCCCAAAAAAGTTAATTCAGGGAGTTTGCTTGAGTGGGTTGGGGTCTCAAGCAAAAGGAGGAATAGAATATTACTTTTATCACAATTTTTGGAAGACAGGAACAACACAGGAAAAATCGGTTTGGCCATTTTCTGTCATTTATAGAGATCCTAGTTTGATCAGTGTTGACTAGGAAGACTTTCTTATCAATGTATCAGTTGGTTTCCCCCTGATTAATTAAATGTTTCTATCTTTCTATTATCTCCAAACCTAAAAATAAAAAATACTCAAGACAAAAGTCATGCTAGCGGTTCTGTGAGGCTCCACAGCAGTGCTTTAAATGCTAATGTCAGCATGCCAACATTCTCACAATAACAGCGCTAACACTGACTTTCATAGAGCCTATTAATCATTTTGCATAAGAATTCAAAATAAATTAATTATTTAAAATAAATTATTATTATGGGCCAATAATTTATCAGTTGTCATCCAATTAGTGGGGTAATTTATAATGATATACATTTACCATTATTGGCCAGTCATTTATCAGCATTGATAATTATTGTGCAACCCTACGTATTTTCTAGTTCAAATTTTACCAATCTCAAAATGAATCAGAAAACAGCTGAAAACTGCAGCGACATGTTTAATTTTGTTGTAGAAATATTATCACTGGTGTGTGGCATCTGAGATAACATGTGGCGGGCAAGATTCCACAGATGTGGACAGAAGGAGCTTAAACTATTCCAAAGAAATTCTTGCCATATCCCTCGTCAGACTAACCAGAGTAAATTCATCACATTTTGTAATTATTTGACCAATTATGTCTGCGATCTTAGATGAAATGCCCAGACAAACAAATAAAGGAAGGTATGAATGAATGAATAAGCAAATAAGTTACCAAGTGAACATAAATATGAATTATAGGTTGAATTAATGAAACCAACGAGCAAAACAACTAATGAATGAACAACAGTTAAATTAAATTCCAATTAAATAAAGAAATAATCAAATGGAAAACGAATAACAGAGGACACATCCTCAGCGCACGCTCTTGACTTCATCACAGGGCACAAAAACGCCTGTGTGTGCGATCATGAGTGTAGCAGAGAGAGAAGTTTCCATTCAGATGAAATGACCTTTCTGCACTCTGCAGTTCTGTGGTTGGGACCCCACCCTGGGTGATGCCTTGGATTTCTATCCATTCCCCGCTGAGATTCCAGACACTTTCCAAAACCCAGAAACAGACCAACTCCCTGCTCCGCCACGCCAAATGTTGTCATACTTCTGCTGCTACTGTAGAGCTCTGGCGTCCGCCTCAGGAACTGGGCTATTCCCAGAACATGTGGTGCCGTCAGTAAGTTTGGAGAAAATTAGAAACTGCAGGCTTTTTTAGATTTTAACTCACTCGCTCATTTGTTCTGGCTTTTCCTCAATTTATTTTCCCCCTCATTTTTTCCCTGCCAGTGCCTCCTTTTCAGTCTGAGTATTGTATTTGTTCACCTGTTATCTGTCTTTCAGAGAGGCAGACTTAATGAGAGTCTGTCTCCCTGAATATCAGTCTTTTTCCTATCCATCTGTCAGTCTTTAAGTGTCTGTCTGCCTTCTATTGTATTTTCTTCCAGAAAGAGCAGAAAAAATGTTTTTCTCTCCCTCTCTGTTATTACCTTCTCTTACCAAGATGCGAGCAAATTACTATTTTGCAGAAACTAAGAGAAAGCATATTGGTCTATGGGCTCTAATCAAACCCATCTCAGTGCTGCTTCATACTTTCCATGTTTTGTTATGGCTTTTCATAAAGTTTAACATGAACATTGTATTTTGCCATTTTGTCTTCATGTTCTATTAATTTTTTCTCAATTTCTCAAAACCTCAGAGTTTGTTTATAGTCTATTTACAGACATCTCAATGATTAAAAAGAAAATAAATGGAAAAATGGCAATCCAAGCAATAGAAAGACTTCACAGCTAGCTAGCTTCTGACTAAATGTTGCCATATTTCCATAAATCATCATGTTGAGGAGTGTCTGCGTTTGTGTGTGAGGAAAATTTGATATAAACTCTAGCCTCTCCTTTCCTACGCATACACACACACGCGCTAGTGACTGTTGATGACAATGAAATGATGAAATGATGATGAAGGGTCACATGAGCCCCATTTCGTTAACATGAATGAATGTGTTTCATTCATGAGTCACAGTGTGATGCTGGACGAAGGACCCTGCCCTGCGGCCTCTGCGACGCCTCACATTACAGTGTCACACATTACAGTGTGACATAGAGCAAATAAATGTAATGTAATTCACATCATGTCACAGATCGGCTGTGTTTGAATCCCATCACTACGAAACATAATACAGGACAATGTGGTGGCTGATTTGTTCAGTGTTTGAAGACCAAATTAAACGTAGCTATTTTACACCTGTTTCATATGTAATTCACAAACGCTGTTTCTATATATTATATATAAACTATTACTTTCTTACTGTCTGTCTGTCAAAATGGCATGTTTACTTTTAAATGAATGAATTTCTGTTATTAATTTTTGAACAGGAGGTCAGTGGTCATAAGTCTTCTCTACAGAAATCATCACTAACTAAAACCTCACAATCGCCTCCACTGTCACTACTTGTGCAGTTTAATTTACCGCTGTCATATTACATGGTTTTTAGATATTGCATTTCCTTTAAACTTTTAAACAGTTACAGTACCTAACACTGCCACTCGGGGCCACAGAAGAACGAATTGTGCAAAGTTTGATTTTATTTAAAAATTAATTCGTAGCAAAACATCTTTTTCGTCTTTTTCATTTGTTTGTTTTTTGTTAATCATGACTCTTTATTTTCAGGAAATCATATTCAGAATAATTCATGTAGTATAAATGTTCATCACATTTACATCTATAAGGCTTGTAGTAGCTCATCTGAAACTGTTGGGGGTTAAGTACTCTACTTTGTAATTCTTTTACATGACACTCAAAGGAAAGAAGGATTTTTCTGTACTGTAATGTAATGTAGAACAGAGCAGCGGAGAGAGATGTTGGGACAAGAAATGGAGTCAGGAGCAGGAGTCGGAGTGCGAACTTGGAAAGTAATTCGGTGTGCTGGACGTTTTTGGCGGGGAATTGCTAGAAAAAGGGAATCTTGACTATGTGTGATACAAGGTGAGGCCGTATGAAAGATGTTTCCACTGTCAGGAGTATGGACTGCAGCATGTAGAGGAGTCAGAAGATGTGGAACATACACTGAAGCTGCTTAAGAGAGAGGCGACAGTGAAATGGTGTTACTGCAAAGACTGCAAAGTGAACAGGAGCAGAAAAGGAATGGAGCCTACCAGAATATCTGCATGGACAAGAAAATACTTTTGGCACTCATTGCCATGGTCATAAATTGTGCTTTTGAGAATCAGAAAGGATTAAAATGGTGCTGGATGCTGCTAGGAGTGTTCTTGGATGCTATAGACATACTGAGGGAAGGATTTGCACTATTTCAGACTAGCTCTTGGTTATAAAATGGACAATGTCATGAATGGAATCACTTTGGGTGGATTCTGTAAATAACTTGCAGTGTGAAACTGTTAAAATCCAGTAGTTTGTGGTAAGGCGACGCTTACGGATGCCAACCGCCATAAAACTCCACAGAAGAAGCAGAAGAAGCAGAAGAAGAAAAATAAGAGCAGCTGAGCCTGTATATGCAGGGCTTGTTAATCAATACCAATGACTTAATTTCTTTTTTTCACTATGAACAATCTCTGTAGGAAAGAAAACTCCACCCAGTGGAAATTCAAATCACTCCCAGGGCCTCCACCCTACACCATACTGGCATTTTCACAGTTTACAAAGTACCATTTATAGCCACTACAGTATTTTCCCATCCACTTCTCTGCTTTACAGAGGTACATACCTTGAAGTGGTAAACAGGCCATAGATGAGAGGGTTCTTCTTGTCTTTCCCATGGAGGATAAAGATGTCCTCTGGATTGAGAAAACAAGGAAAAGGAGGGAGAGATGAGGAAAAGGAGAGGAAGGAGACAAAGAGGTAAAACACAAGTTAAGCCAGAGTAAAAAATCATAGCAGTTTCTGAACTACTGGAGAAGTTTTGATTAGTGTTGCACAGGTTTGTGTAAACTGTATGTGTGTATGTCTGTGTGCATCAATCAGTCTGACTGTGTGACTAATAGCATCGGGCATGCTGGCAGCATGGCTGACTGGCTGCTTGTAATGAAACTGTAGCCATTAATAACCAGCCACAGTGGGAGAGCTGAGCGCCGGGTCCGCCACAGGAGAACAACACCTGCTGTCACGCTCACACTAACACCACACCTCAGTCTTCACTCCTCATTTCAAACACAGTGGATCACAACATATGATACATCTTTCTCACGTCGGTGTTGTGCTGTATACCGTCCCTCACGCAGCGCAATCAGGTGGAGTGTGGATTTTAGCCCTCTCCATCTGTCTGCCTTTCAAACCTGTTATCTCAGACACCACTGGTTCCAAACGTTACTGGAGTTGAAGAAATTATGGATTCTTAAATGGTGTTGTAGCAGTTGGGAAATCACACTGATTGGCCTTAGATATATCAAACACCAACTGTTTGCATTGTAGCTTTAAAAAAAAAAAGACACACAATTCCACTTGGTACAATAGCAACATCCTGGACCAGGTCAGAGTCAATCAACTACCATCACACAAAGCTTTAATTAGAGTTTTAGACCACTAGTTCCACTATGGATTGGTGGGCGCATCCCAATTATGCTTATATTTTGTAATTCATAAGCCTCAATGCAAGTCCATCAAAATGAAACATGTTATTGTTAATGTTGGTAGACTCACTCCTAATCACTGTAATTTTAAAATGCCAGATTACAGTGGAAATGAAGCATGTCATAAATAGATGAAAATATTAATGAACACACTGACAGAAAAACAAACAAACAGATGGCGGGAGTCAGGAGACCAAGACTGTCTTCTGAAAGTCTCTAATTTACAAACTCACAAACAAACAGAACAAATTAATGTTTTAACATATGTAATATGAGATGAAGCTCCACAGTCTGGTGCAGCATTCTTGATTCCTTTCATTGCAGTCCAGTTGACACAGTCATAAAGTCATCCTCACAAATCCCGCTGATTAGTTGAATCACAGCACACGTCCACATTTTCTATTCTAACTCTCCAATTCTGAGCTGAGTTCTTATGTTTAAAAACAGCACTGATGAACGGTGTTGAAATGTTCATCACAGTTAATCAGACTTTCAGTGTCTCATACACTCATCGTTGTCTAATTCAGTTGACTACTGTCACAGCACAGACGAGGACTATATTTTCACTGTTTATTTAAATAACAATAAATCAAAGGTTTTCTGTTTTGCAACCTTTGTCTCAGATAAGAGTTAGGAATGTTTTTTTATCATCATATCACAACAGTAGAGAACAGAGCCCTTTGTTTCTTGTGTGGCATGCTGCGATAATCTATAAATACATGACTTGACTCGGCTCCCAGCATACGGTGGGACAAAAGTCTGAGAAACTCTTTAAAAAGGTTTAGCTCGGAAAGTGCTCAGGTTGATGTTGACACACAAAAAGTTTGCAGCAATAAAGGTTGGAAAAGGATGTTTTGGATGAGCTCTACGTGTCGCTGCCTTTATTCTACTCTCCTCTCATTTCTTCTTCCCACGATGAGGCAGAGATGTTGTTGCGGTATCAGACACAGCGAAGCGTATCACTGTTCCCACATTCTCGTCGTTCCTGCTGCTTCAGGTGGCCTCCGTGGAACTACAGCCCTGCAGGAAGTCTAATCTCATCTCATCTCATCACACACACACACACACACACACACACACACAAGTCACACCAACGCTTGCCACACGCAGTGACAGATTGTGAAGCACATACACATCAAACAAAGAGAAATAAAGTCCACATGCATGCACCTACACACACACACACCCACACACAAATGTATAACTGCAGGGACCAAAGCATACACATGAACACACACACACACACACACACACACACACACACACACACACACACACACACACACACACACACACACACACACACAATCAGTAAGCCCCTCAGGGCAGAGCAGAGAGGACTGTGGGTAGTCTGCAGCCTGCAGCGTACACATTGCTCACTCCCTTATTTAATATATCACTCCTTCATTATTAAGTTTTTTTAGTGCTTCCTTTTTTTCCCTCTTCCTGCTTTTAAATTTACAATGCAGATGTCTCATTTGAGCTCTTACTTCTGTTTCTGTCCTCTATCGCTCCTTACCATATTTTACTCATACAGTATATCATCCTTCCGTCTTTTTTTTCCACCTTCTGTCCACTTTTCTTATCACATCTAGCTAGTTTTCTTTTCTGCTCACATCATCCAAAGAATGCCCCTCTCTCTTCAGCCCGTTTCATTAATCAAAACCTTTATCATCTCTCCATTTTCTTTTTTCTCTCCCCTTCTACGTGCCTCAAAGTTTTTTTTTTAATGTCAGTTTTGCTTTATTACTCTGGATGATACATGTGCTGTTGGGTGAACTCTTTCATCCAAAGCAGTTCAAAGTTGTTTTTTTTCAAGGAAGGGAGGAGCCAGAGTCAAAAGAAGGGCATCGGAAGATTTACATCTAAACCTGTAGAGCTGAGTTTTATAGCAGCCTGGTGGAAGCCATTTACAGATGAAAGACAGACTCCCTTTAAACCTGGTCGGAACATGTTTGGTAGGTGATCGGATTGTGATCAGATAAATAGTTAGAATTCATTTGTAAGTGTACCCAAATAGGCACTAAACCTCTTATCATCCACACCACATCTAGAGAGGTGGTCAGAGCCATATATGGCCTCGTCAACGACTGCAGGATGCATGTTAGAGCTGTGGAATGGTAAATAAACCTTCATGTGAAGAGGTGAAGAAGAAAACAAGAAAGCAAGCAGCAGCTAGTTTATACAGATACTTGTTAAAGTAAACTAGGACCTAGGCCACCTAAGACAAAGGTAAAATAAGCCCTGATTTGGTCATTTGCAGGTCAAAAGACATTTAGACACATAGGTTAAAATTGGGTTAAATTTGGTTGAAAAGCGAAGCAAGCTTTTTAGAACTTTAGGTCACATAATGTTGCCTTTGTGCAACCTACAACAAAATCAATAAAACTATTAAATCAAACCATTTTAGTGATTAGCTTAAGTAACTTAACTTAACTAGGTTAAATAAGAAGCTTTAATGGTTACTCCAGAATAGACACAAAAGTCGTGGCACACTGTCTTGTCTAAGGATGCTCCACTAAACGCTAATCTGCTCACAGTGATAACGCTGATGTTTGGCACATATAATGTTTACCATGTTAACAATCTTAGTTTGGGATTGATGGGAACATCATTAGTTTTTCAGTTATCTGATTAAAAACCAAAGTCGTACAGAAATACTGACCTGTTGAAAAATAAATAGAACTAAATTAAATGTTAAAGGATCATCAAAGTCAATACAATTCATCCTGAGGGGGACATGAATGTCTTTTTCATGGTAATCCATCGAGCACTTGTCGAGATATTTTGCTGGATAAGTGAAAACTTCGACCAGTTAGAGGCGCCAGATGTTTCATCCTGTGGGCACCATAATTGTCTCTACTGCATTTCATGGCAATGTATTCAATAGTTTAGAAAGATTTCAGTCTGGAACAAGTTGGAACAAGTTGGACCAACCGACCGATCAACAGTCTGACATTGCTGTTATAATACTCCAAAACCAAGTAAAAACCTGCACACCACTTGCTGAAATCCAATTTTACTGTGTATAACAAAGTGTTGTGTTTTAAAGCCTGTGTTAAAAGTAAATATATACTCAGTTCAGTGTTGAAAAAGTACAGCCTAAAACTCTATACAAACTTTGGTGAAACACTGTAGGGAAAAACTCTGAATCCCTGCCTTCTGCTTGAAAGTTAGTCAGTCTCTCTTTCTTCTCAGCACCTCACTGTGCATTCAGCTTCATGAAAACATAGTTAAACTTTGGAAGACGCAGTCAGAACAACATTTGTCAGACTTTGAAGAAGTCTGAAAAAGTTATTTACAGCTCAGCTTGGCAAAAATTTGCTCTTATCGCTGCATGACAAGTTTAAATCATGACTGATTTAGTGCCGTTCCACCTCGCTTCTACATCTCTCTCGTCTGTTTGATTTATTAAAGTGTAGTGACTTTAATGTCATTAATCTTTTACAGGGGAGGAAAAGCAAAACACACACACATTCATCACAAACACTGAGTGCAGGAAATTTGAGATCAATCAGCTTCGGTCTACAAAATCTGACCAGGTAAGAAAGGACTGCAGATTAAATAAAACATGTAAAAGAGAGCGTTTTAATCATGTTGCAGTTATAGGAAACATCTTCATGTCTTCTTTCCCTTTGTCCCCTTTTTTAATCTTTTAACCACATCTTCTTTCTCTTTCTCCGTCAGACAGCTGGCCACCATCTTATACTAACAGTAATCCCTCGTTCTGAGCTGATTTTCTTTGTCTCCCTTTCAGTCTTCTTCGCTCCTTTTCTCTCTGTCTCTTTATCTGTTCATCAGGTGCTCATCCTCCCCCGACCCCTCCCTTTCTGCTCAAATCCACCTGGACGTCCCATGATCCCTCTGGGCGTCTCTCATTCTCTTTGTTTCTCACTTATGCCATCCCTTCCCAGTCTCTATCCCTCCCTCCCGCTATCTCTCCATCCCTCCATCTCCACGTCCATCTGTCTGTCTGGCCTATTTTTCTCCGGAGGATTGTTCTTGTGTCTTCTTCTCTAAACAAAAAGCGGCGGTGCTCCCCTGAGGCTAGATAGTCTTGTCTAGCCCGCAGACCTGCAGCAGCAGCCCCTATCTTCCTCCTCCTCCTCCTCCTCCTAATTGTCTGACCATAGCCCCCCAGGCGAACACCACTCTCCTCATTTCTTTGCTCTTCCCTCTTTCCCCTCCCTCGCTGTCCAGCCACCCTG